TTTGAGGGAGGAAGAGCCAAAAGTGTCCTCTATGTCCTGCAGCATCACAGCAGAATTGAAGAATTTCTTCTGTAAAGTCAGATTTGGTTCAAAAAGCCTGTAGCATCTCATTCTCCATGGACATGGGAAAAACAAAGCTCATTTCACAAAATCCAACAGTCCCTTACTTGTGTCCTTTGAACTGCACATGCTGCATTTCTTAGTTGAAGAAAATCCCTTGATATAATGCTAAAAACTGAGCCCAGAACACAAAGTTTCAAAAACTGTTGCATAAAATGTCTCTGAAATTCCCTCTATGTCATCAGTTCCATCCAAAATGCATTTTAGATTTTGCTGCTGCTTTGTGCTTCTGTATTCTCCAACCTTTTGTTTATTACTTTTCTTAACACAGAAAAGTACTATCCCACCAAACCAAGTAATAATTAGAAAATAATAATAATAAAAGATAACACTTGTACAGCGCTTTTCAAGATACTCAAAGATGCTTTATATGAGGAGAAAAATCTGTAAATAAGTAAGCTCCATCAAAGAAACACAAAAGTGGCAAATGCTGTTGAAAGCGAGTCCATGGGGAAATCTGTCTGCGAGAATGCAGATATGGCGGCTTCTGATGAGTCTATTAAAATGGTCCATGCTGTGCTAGCTGCGCTTCGTCAAAAGCAATGAGCGCCGGAACATGGGGAGGAGGGCCCATAGACATCAGTTGCCAGGGGCGATAATGGAGCCTACCCACAGGCGCTCTGATTGGTCGAGCCACGGAGTTGTTTGTGAAAGCGCGTGGTACATCAAAGAAGTCGGTAATTAAAAACAAACATAGCATGACGTTTGTTGTGGAATGGTTGGAAGTTCACAGTAACATCACACTGGGGGTGTTCTACATGCATGTCTTTGGTGGAATGGCGAGTATTTCCCATGTTGAAACAATGTAAACAAAAGCAAACTCAGACAAAAATTTTTAAGTGACTGAAAAATAAAAAAGTATAGACAAAATGGATTTAAATAACACATTTTCAGAAGAATGTGAACAGTGTTGGGAGTAAAGCGTTATAAAAGTAAGAAATTGCTGTAATGCATTGCTTTTTGCTGTAACGCAGTAATGTAAGGCATTACAGGGAAAACATTTTTTTTGCATTTTTAACTTGGGTTGAAGTGGTTGGTTTTTTGTTTTTCTTCATACAAATTCGCAAAAATAACCGTGATATCAGCAGCTGTGAAACACCATTGTTCAGAATGTCGATATGGGCCTGGAGGTGCGTCGTGTGGACCGATACAGAACTCTATGCTCCACAGGGCTAATCGCAACCGATGCCCAACCACGCTTTGCAGACACGCTGCTCCACAATCTAAGACCGTCTCTCAGGGATGGTCCTAGATTCTGGGTTCAGTCCTCATGTTCAGTCCATATACAGTGCAAAAGTTCGGCATCTTTGCTCACCGATTGATAGTTGACAATCAGCGACAGTTATTTTGGTGAGGGTAAGTTAAAAGTGCTGCAATAGTTGTGTAATGACTTACATTTTAAGTGCAGTAATATTGTAATGTAACAAATTACTTTGAAATGACAGTAACAAGTCATAAATAACACATTACAGTTTTGAAGTAACTTGCCTTGGTCCTCTTTAGGTGTTTGATTTTCAACAAAAAGGTGAGTGACTAACTGAAAAGCTTTTGGCAAATACTGACTGTAATGTTATTTTTGAAGGACTTGTTTAACAGCACAGATCATCTCACCTATCTATTGTAGTTTTAACTAAGTCAGTTCTTTATAGTCAGATTTTTTAATCAAAACTGATTAAATTCTAACTCGAGTAACAAGCTTCAGACAAAGCAGTGCTTCATTTAGCATCACACCCCCAGGGAATATTGATGACATCAGCTGTAAAGTATCAGTATTGGTGTGTTTGCTATTTTGGTGATTTTTTAAACAATTGTTTTATGACTAAAAAGGTCTTGGCCTTTTGTTTTCTAAACTAATCTATAATTCCACAAGTGATACTTTGGTGGATTTCAATTCCACTGAGTGTGAAAGTCCTAGTTCTCCTGGTATCTGGGACGGGCTCCTTTGGGTGCTCCTGTGACAGCCTATATACTATATACGATTGTTCCAGTTACAGGAACTATATGTACATCTTTTTAGATTTCATACATGACCTGTCTGTGTCCCCACATACGAGGCATGTGTTCAAATCAAATACAGCTTTTACAGAGAATAAATGTAATGCTGATTTATTCTTAGTTAAAAAGACATGAAGAATTTATGTATGTAATCATTTGGTGTTTTGGTTCAAAGTAATTATCAAAACAGAAAGCAGAATGCCAAATCACATGGAGCACGTTAGCATACGAGAAATCATTGTTTTGGTTTACATCCGGCTTTTCCACAAGTGCACAGTGGCTGGTAGGCATAAAGTTAGTGGGGCCGCTTGTTTGTGTTGGCAGTTGTGTTGCATATGTCTGTCATTGTCATGAGATAAATCTAATGAGTCTTATTCTGAAGTAGGTTTGGCATTTAATTGTTTAATTGTTTAATCACTGAATGTTGAGGATCAAAAATGTTACTCAGAAAAGTTAAAACTAACAGATAACTGTTGACGATGTTGATGCTGGCTTGTTGATATGGGCACTTTTTGCTTACCAGAATGGCTGACGTGACATCATCGTGTTTTGTTGTGTGTGCTGACCACTCCACAGGGAATACAGAAAAGGTAAACAAAGTAAAAAACAAAAAAAACTAAACACTTTCTTCACTAGTAATGTTCTTTGCATTTTGTACCCAAGACAAATTTCCCCTTTCCCCTTTACTCTAGTAACTGCTTACTCAACAAGAAAATATATCCCCTTACTTTAAACCTGGAATAGGAGCAGGAATAAGGAATAGCGGATAATTATGCCAGTGAAAAATGTTTCTGTAATTTGTCAAGTTTGGATTTGCACATACCATGCTTATTTATGTGTCAGTGTACTTCCAGAAGAGTAATGAAATACAGTTTAATCCCAAATCCATCATGTTACTATGGTGACGTGGCTCCCGTGTGTCCTCTTCACTCACAGCCAAAATGCACTAATTCATCAAATGTATCTGTCATTATTCAAAACATGCCTCCCTCTGTCACAGATCTGCTCCACACACATTTGAGTTTATCCTGATACAAGATACACAGATAAACAACATCAGCATTTGTCTAAACGCCAGACTGATGGTGGCTCTTTGGAGGGACAAGTTGTGTTATAAAGGAGCAAAGGATTATGGTTACTGGTCAAATATGGTCACTTTTTTTGCTATTCTAGAACAGATGAGAGTACGCTGTGGAGTATAAACACTTAAATCTATCAGAAAATGACTTGCAAATAGTGAAATGATGTGTCCATGCAGCATGATCATTTTACTTGACAAGTTGTCTTAAAATAAACTACCTCTAGACTAAAATGAAGCAGTCTCAGAACTAGTAAGTAGATAATAAATCTGAAAACAAGATGAATAATATGATATAAATTTTTAAATCTTGGCCAGATTAGAGAAATTTGCAGTGTAAAGAGCGTTGAGGGCCTTGAAAATGGACAACCACTACATAAAAATGCAGCCATTTACCATTTTTACCATTAAAGTTGCATTGTGTAACATTTCTGGTGTAGGGTAAAGTGATTGAGATGGAAAAGGCATATTACCATATTTCGCAGTACATCATTAAATATATTTACCTCCAAGGAGACAAGAAGTTGGCAGCGTCTGAGATGGGTTACAAGTTGCAGATTGTTGTTACAGACATACTTATTTTTGTCAGTATTAGTCACCTCATCAGCAAGATGTTTTTGAGCTATACAAAAATATAGTGATACTGTATGCTGTAAGTGAACACTTGTGAACAAGACCCCGAGATACTTGAACTCCTCCACTTGAGACAAGGCCTCTCCACCCACCCGGAAAGGGCAAGCCACCCTTTTTCAATCGAGGACCATGGCCTCAGAATTGGAGGAGTGGATCTTCATCTCAGCTGCTTCACACTCGGCTGCAAACCGCCCCAGTGCACATTGCAGGTCCTGATTTGATGAAGCAATCAGGACAACATCATCCGCAAACAGCAGAGATGAGATCCTGTGGTCCCCGAACCGGACGAGAGATTGACAGGTAGATTGGTTCAGGGTCTGCAGTGAGGTGGTCGCTGTATCAGACGGTTGGGGTGAAGAGGGAGCTGAGCCGAAAGGCAAAACTCTTGATTTACTGCTCAATCTATGTTCCTCCCCTCACCTATGGTCATGAGCTCTGGGTAATGACTGAAAGGAAAAGATCGTGGATACAAGCGGCTGAAATGAGTTTCCTCCGCAGGGTGGCTGGGCGCTCCCTTAGAGATAGGGTGAGGAGCTCAGTCACACTAGCTCGGAGTAGAGCTGCTGCTCCTCCATGTCAAGAGGAGCCAGTTGAGGTGGCTGGGCGCCTCCCTCCGGAAGTGTTCCAGGTATTTCCCATCAGAAGGAAGCCCCAGGGAAGACCCAGAACACGCTAAAGGGACTATGTCTCTCGGCTGGCCTGGGAACGCCTCGGGGTCCCCCCTGGAAGAGCTGCTTAAACAGCTAAGGCCCCTGATATGCGTAAGAAAATGGCTGGATGGATGGATTTGAATTTTTCCCCATGTTTTTAAGCAAAATGTGTCTTGCCCCAGTACAGATATATTGTATAAGCATTTCTTGAGGTCAAAGTCTGCTGTGTGCTGTCTCCCTCTAATTATAAAAGGTTATTGTTCGAGAATCAGGAAGTGTGGGTAGCATGTTAGTTGTTGTCAGCATTACTGTGTTGGCAAAACTCTGCTCTGGTCTCTTAGAGTTGAGCTTATAAACTCAGCTTCATGAATAATTAGGGCGCTCTGAATGCATAAGGTAAGAGAGGAACGCATTTGGACCACTGCAAACTGTTTAAAATGAACTAGTTCTGTTTTTATGTTTTTAAAAACAGTAACACATCTATAGAGATAAGCACTTTTGTAAATTTTAACATCAAGATCAAGAAAGCTACAGAAAGTTGTGTTTATTTTCTTAACCATTTTCAACACATTTTAATAATAAAACAATTATTCACATTTTTGGCTTTTTTCTTGGCAATTCAGTCCATTAAGAATCCCTTTGATTACAGTTTCTTGACTACAGTTTCAGAAGTAACAGCATGTCTTGGTCATGTAGCAGGTGCCAGGGCAGGGTGCTCTCTAGCTCCTGTTTGTGGGTATATGTGGGTGGGGCCAGTTCCGGGATTGGAAGTAGCCCCTGAGTCCCTCCAGGTCGACCGGGGGGAAGTAGGGTCCGATCCTCTTCCTGATCCACCATTTCCCCTGTGCCGCGCTGGCGCTGCCCGGTCTGCTGAACTTGTAGATGTAGTGCTCTCCTCGGACCCATCTGAGGAGGAAAACAATACAATAAAGACGAAAGGCTTATGATATTCTGATATTTATACTAAAACTATGATTGAAACTACCGCTAGACACGCATTTGAGCAGGGATCGATATAAAAAAAAAAAGAAAAAAAAAAAAAAAAAAAAAAGAAAACTAGAATCACACCAACAGACAAAATTTGACCTTCCTGAGCAGTTTAAGTATGATCCTGACCCTTTTTTAGAACTAGAATAGGACCAAATTTATGTTGAGAATTACAATTTATTGTCTAAAAAGTGTTTTTTTTAAGTGCAAAATTGACTCTTAAGCCATGTTTTTATTTTTTTTCCCCCATAACCTGAAATAATAATCTTAGTCAACCAGACTAGCAAGGCTGGTGCCACCTAGTGCCTCTGCTCAATTTCTTTTCTCTCCAGTGACTAGGTCAGGAATCGGAATACACTAGACGGTTTGCAAGAACCCCGGAAGTGTGAGTCCGGGCACCAGCCAATCAGCGAAGAGCCATACATTCTGTGTTGGCATTCCCAAGATTGAGGATTAAAAAATGGAACAAAGAGAATGTTTGGTGAAGGAAAGACATTATTGCCCATCTTCGTACAGGATTTGGGAAAAGCTTCATATACCAGTTAACCCCGTTAGTGGTGCATTGCATATGTGACTACCAAATAGCAGCGACTGGTTAAATAAAAAAAAGTACCCGCCTACTGTCGAGCAAACAAATCCTAATGCTGCGAGGTAAGACAGTTTCTATGGAGTGAAACCGGCTGATGAATCAGGCTACAACCAGACAGACCTCAACACAACACATTAAATAATGAACACAGCAGCGACAGTAGCTCAGTTGGTAAAGCATTTGCCCACTGATCCAAAGATTGGCAGTTCGAATTCCGCTCTTGATATAAAACATCATTGGTTGAGAGGTCAGATTCACTGCATGCCTGAATGGGAGAGTGGTTCCTTGTTGGAAAGCACTATGAGTGTCTTGAAGGTGGAAAAGAGGACAAACAGGTAATCATAGTTTAACAAGCTTTAAGCCATGTTATAATGTTGTTACCTCTTCAAAAACATACCTGTGTTTTGTTTCATTCACACATGTTTGAGCAACCCTTTATTATTAGTCTGTCTACATCTCCAAAGCTCAAAATTAGCTGTTCAACCTTGTGATGTCATGAACCTTGATTTCAGTAGATATTGGCAAAACTGAAATCATCCACATAATTCTAGTGAAGGTGTATGCGGTTTAAAAACACAGTGGAGCACTTCCTGTTTTACCACATGACATCACAAGGCAGAACAGAGTGTTTGTCTTAAGACCCACTTTTTTTTTATTTTTATTTTTTTTAATAATTTTTAGTGTTATGTATTTTAGCACTTTTTATTTATCGTATTTATTTATGATTACTGTCTTTTATTGTAGTAATTTGTCAGTGCAGCACTTTGGAAACTGTCGTGTTTATAAAGTGGATTGGATTTAATTTTCTATTTGAGAAGAAGAACTTTAAATATGCAACAAAAAAGAAAGAACTCCGCAGGAATGTGCAGGGTTTGTGTATTAAACATGTGTAGATAAAACAAAACACAACTCCGGGTCTGTTTTGGATGAGGAAACTAAATTATACCAAAGATAAGAAAATGGCGTAAAGTGGGCTCCTTAAAACGAAAGATTAAAACGTTCAAGGTAAGTTCTGAAGTATTTTCTTTTTTCCTTTATTCCATCAAAAACGATCAAAGTCAGATCTCAGAGTGAGAGCGGCGCAGAGTCTGGCAGCGCCGCAGCCTTCATCATTAGACTATTATGAGCACATGCTTGCTTTTGTAATGTCAAATCTGAGAAGTCCACGTACGCCCACGTAAAAATAAATAAATCAATCAAAAACAGAACGTGGACGGACACGGTGATATTTCGTCCGCCTCAGTGGACGTTACATAAATAATAGCAACCTTTATAATACGCCTGTTATGACCGTTTGATTCATTCTTATTGGCGATGGCGTTTCATATTCTGTTTCCCACTCATTTTACTGCAAATAGCTTGGAGAATGAAAAATGGAAAATGAGGTCATGAGTTTAAGGCGCCATACCTGATTATTTTACATGCAGCAAACAGCAACAAGTATGCTAACAGTGCACTTCCTGATTATGGAACCATTTGTGACAAAAAATGTAATAATTAGAGACAGATAGTACACGGTGGACTTTTTTTGACATTAATGGCTGCTTTTATGGAGACACATTTTGCTCAAACAAAATCAGGTACAGAACCTTTAAAGGGCCTGTATTACATTATTTTCTGATCCATGTTATAATGTTAAATGTTCTACTGTGTTTTTAAACTCCATGCACCTTCTCTAGGATTATCTGGATGATTTCGGCCCTGGAATTGCCAATCTCTACTGAACTAAAGGTAAAAGGAGCTAACTTGAAAACTACCGCTTCATGACATCACAACAGGGTTCCCACTCCTTTTCACTGACAAAATTTAACAATTTCCATGACTTTTTATGACCAAAAGTGAATTTTCCATGACTTTATGGCACCTACATGTGTAGAATTGAGCAGACTTTTAGGGCTAAATATGAAATGTTAACCCTTTCCACTCACCTTATGGTTTGGGATTATATTTTTTTTAACATTCAAAATCCTGTCAGTGCATTTATTGTCGTCTCTTTTAAACAAAAGACGCAGACATTCAGAAATAATCATAATAGCGTAATGGCAAAGGAGAAATTCAGTTTGTCAATTGGACAAAAGTTAGTTGGTCGAATACGTTTCTGCGACAAACTGAATTTCTCCTTTGCCATCTATTCTCCCTCGACGACGGAGGGATTTTTCACATAATAGCCCAATGATAACTTAATAGAATACTCCAGTTGTGTGAAAGAGATACTAAAATTCTACGACTTTTACGAAACTTTCATTGAATTTACAAAATTGCATGACTTTTCTAAGCCTGGAAAATGACATCTTCAATTTCCATGACTTTTCAAGGGTTTCCATGACTGTGGGAACCCTATCACAATGTGGAACAGAGCATTTAGAGCTTTGGATAATTAGACTAATAATGATGGATTACTCAAACATGTGTGAATGAAACAAAATGCAACTCCACGTATGTTTTTCATGCAGTAACAACTTTCTAACGTGGCTTAAAGCTCACAAGAGTCAATTCTGTGAAATGTAGAACCTTTAACATTTGAAGTACGTCTAAATATAGCCTACTGTTCTGTGTGGGAAGCGCATGTGTATTTTAGTATGTATCAGGGAGTCAAAGGGCCAGGATTACTTTGACTTATCCGAGCTCAAAGTTCTTTTTATTCAGTGTGAAGCTCCGACAGCAGCCAAACACTCCTCATCATCCTGACAGCACATTATGGGCAAGAACCGCGCTGTTTTTGGCCCATCGGCTGCTTAAGAGTGCAAAAACAATGCCCTGCCAATAACACTATCATAAATAATACATGGGTGGGGCAGTTGGGTCATCCTCTTTATTTAATTATATTTTTTATTCAGTTAATGTTAAATTTGCACTGTGTAGTTTACTAACTGCTTGTTATTTCTTCTTGTTATTTTCCACAGTATGGCATAAGACCTACATATCTTATCTGTAGAAGTAGTAGTAGTAGTAGTAGTAGTAGTAGTAGTAGTAATAGTAGTAGTAAATTCTATCTAACATTTATTCAATTAAAGATGTTTTTATATGACTAAAAATATCTTGACAAACATGCATTCTTTTTGTGAGCAGGGTCGCCTCACCACAGATCTGACCTGTAACTATGATGTCACAACTGTTCCAACTGGAGCAGATAAGTTTAATGCTATACTGTGGAACATTTATGGCAAAGACATCTCCACAGAGAAGTAATTTAGTGCACCATTAATTACAAAATCTGGTGTTGTATGATCAATATATTTTTAAAAATGGAGGGAAATCCTGGAATTCAAATCAATTTCAAAATAAATTGTGACTGTGATTCATTTTTCAACCAGGACTGAAACTGAACTATAATGTATAAAGAATGAAGTATTTCAAACACTCGTAGTACTGGAGACAATGAAAATAGGTCCTATATATCTCAGGCCTATAATGGAAGTTTTTTGAAGATAATGATGAATTTGAAATCTTGTATTTATGGAAATTAGAATGAATTAATTTAGATTGTTTTAATGATAAATTGGATAGTAGTTATTTTAAGGAGACGTTGTTAAATTCTGATAAATTATTGCTGTGTAAATAGTTTCCTTAATGCATTTTGTACCTGCTCAAGGACTGCAGATGGAAAGTAACTTGTAGCTATAGAGCATCTTTTCTCTTTGAGTTTAATGTTTTCTGTGCACTGTCCTTGTTTTAAATTAATAATAAACCTAATAAACACACATTTTTTCCATGTATTTGAGCAAAATTATATCTCCTGAGGTCAAAATAAGTCTGTATTGTGTGAAATGTATAATTATGAAGCATTTTATTGTCCGATAATCAGGAGGTGCACTTTTAGCATGCTAGTTGTTGTTAACATTTCTGTAACAGCTAAATTTCACTCTGGTCTCTGAATAAACTCATTGTGGTGGATAATTAGGTTGAAGAATAACTTTGGACCACTACAAACTGTTTAAAGTGAACTAGTTCTGTTTTTCATGATTTTTAAAGGTCCTATATTATGCAAAATTGACTCTTGTGAGCTTTGAGCCATGTTAAGATGTTCTTATCTCATCAAAAACAAACCTGGAGTTGTGTTTTGTATTATTCACACATGTTTGAGTAAACCTGCATTATTTGGCTGTTTGCATTTCCAAGGCTGAAAATGCTCTGTTCCACCTTGTGATGTCATCAAAAACGTTTGTTTAGTCGGGACTGGCATTAGGCTATATTCACGCTTACTTCACAAAACTGGAAGACATTTGGAAACATGTGAATAACGACTTCCTTTGGGCTCTTTTGGCAATAGTAACTCTGACAAAATCTGGGAAAAATGGGAAAATGGACCGGTTTTCTTCATCTAGATGTCATTGTGTTCTTCTTTTTTCTTTTATAAATTGCTTCTTTAATTTGTGTATTTATAATTTGTCTAACTTAAAAAACAAAAAACAAAAAGACATCATTGTAGCGTTCTGTTATGTTCGGCAGATCAATAGTTCTAACCAGTTGCCTGTAAGTGACACTGAAGACACAATTAGAGTCTTGTCCCTCATGGAAAGCTTTGACGGTTTGTGAAGACGCTGCTGCTGAATTCACGGTTTTATCACATCGACAGTATGACATATGTCGGTAACTACACCGGAAGTAGTCATCTGCATGTTTCCAAACGTCATTCCAGTAAACGTGAATAGAGCCTATTCCAGGGCTTAAATCATCTAAACCAGACAGGTCAAACTCAGGCACAGGGGACAAATTTGGCCTGCGATACAATTATATTTGGCCCGTGAGATCATATCAAACATGTATTAGAGCTGCCCGCCGGCTACAGATAGACTATAGAGACATTATTTATTTAAAATGTTGTTATTATTTTATATTCTGCTTGTTCTGGATTCAAGGTTTAAGCAAAACTCTTATTAAATATTTATTTTAATAAGAAAAGGTTGAACATTACATATCTCAAAAGAGAAAACATGCAGATGTTGTTGAAATTTTTTGAGTAAATATTTAGTTTGGCCCACGACTTAGTCCCAGTTTTTAATTTTGGCCCTCGGTGAATTTGAGTTTGACACCCCTGATCCAAATGATTCTAGTGAAGTTGTATGGAGTTTAAAAACACAGAGGAGCATTTCATGGAACCGAGAAAATAACTCAGCCTAAATATGCAGAGTTTGTTTTACACATGTATGAATGAAACAAACACAACTCCAGCTCTGTTTTTGATGAGGAAATAACATTACAGCATAGAAAATTGCATAATACAGACCCTTTAAGGCAGCAAAAATTAGATACAGCGAGTTAAAATTCCAGTATTGTCTCCGTGCATACACTGTTTTGGTGTATTGTTAAAGTAAAAGCATTAAATATGGATGTGGGTTCTTGTGGGTTATGAAATATATAAATTACACTGTTGACAGCCACCTATATGTGCCTATATATAATATTATGGCATTATATTCCCTAGTCGTTTACCTGGGGGTCTCTCTGCCTTCAAATGGATTGTGGTCCATCAGCGAGAGCACGGTGCTGTCGTTGGAGAGCAAACGGCCCGCTATGTGGATGACCCATTCGTTCTGCTCATAGGTCTGCAACAATATGAAAATGAGAAGAATTTTCTATTAAAATTCCACACAAAATTACCCTTACCCTGAACCTACAATGGTAAAAGATTATATAAAGCTACGGAGGGCATTTGGAACTTGTGTAAAGTGAACTGGTGCCCTCTAGTGGTGATGTGCAGCAGTAAATTGAATTGAATAGTTGACGTGCAAGAGCAATCTCCTAAAGTAAAGTAATAGGAATAAGATTGAAGAAGGAAAACAACCCCTAAAAAACTTATAGATTATTATTTCATACATTTTAATAGTTACCCCTAGATACACAAAATGATTACTACTTATTTTAACTTTTTCGCATTTTTTCCGGTTTGTTGCAGTGTGGAAAAAAAGTAATCATATTTTTAAAGTTGCACATTGTAACTTCTCTGGTGGGGGGAAAGCCATCTTCTCGTCTCCATGGAGTTGTCATTGCTTTACCTGGAATGTTCCCTAATGACAGCACTCAACTTGTCCATCTCCATGGAAACAAGAAGGTGATGGCAGGTTCCAAGCCAATTTACCAGTCACAGCTCTTAAGGGGTGCCCCTGCTCACAGTAAGACCCATGTTTTTCAAGGTGTTTTCTTGAGTAAGAAAAACACCAGTAATTAATGAAGGCGAGACAAAGAATATAAAATTAAAACCAAAGCAATAACATCTCCATGGAGACAAGACACCACAAAAGTTACATAGATGTGTGTAAAGTGCCTCAGTCGTCCAGGTAGACTCCATGGCAAAAGAAAAATTCAATTTGTCAACTGGACAAACGTTTATTTAGGTCAAAGAATAAATAAATGTCTTCTAGTTGACAAATTAGATGTCTCCTTTGCCAAAAGTTACATAGTGCAACTTTATCCTTAACTTTGTAGGAAATATTGTAAACACATTTATTCTGGGCTTAAAAAGTAAAGACTTCCAATAATGACAACTGTGAATTTACAAGGTGCACTATGTAACTTTTTTGGTGGTGGCAGTGGATCTGCTCCCTGCTAGTCTCCATGGGCAATTTTTAGTTATTGTTATGCCTGGAATGTTACACAGAATGGGATTAAACTAATATAACATATTAAATTACTGATATTTTATAGGGCTGGGTATCATTAAGAAGTTGCTGATACGATACATACCTCAACACATAGGCAATGATACAATAAATATCTCAATACAGGGCACTTTCAATTCCATACGATATATTTCAAATCAATTTGATAAAGTTCATTAAAAATAAAGGCTAAATCATGAATGTGATACTAAAAGTCTTTGTTAAACCACTTCTTGTGCAAAGTTCATATGAAACACAAACATTTTAGTCATCAAAAATGTCAAATGTGTTGCATAAACGAGTTTCCTTCCTCTAAATAAGCAACAAAACTGTACCATTGTAACAAAATAATTTAGTAAAATACATCACAAAACTACTCTTGGCGATATATCGATACAGCAGCCCATGATATCGATACTGCATCATCACATTAGACCATACGATATATCGATATTTCAATATTTTTGCACACCCATTCTGAAAAACATGCTTTTTTTCTGTAAGCAAGTTCGCCTCTCCACAAACTCGACTAGTAATTGGTATTGTCACCTGCTTGTCTCCATGGAACTTGAATACCATACTGAACATTTCAAGCTAAGCAAGAACATAAAAAGCTTTTCCATCAGAAAAGTTACATAGTGCATCTTTAAGCAACGTCAACTCATTTGACCTTTATTTAACCAGGATAGTCCCACTGAGATTGAGATTTTTTTTTTTTTCAGGGAAATCCTGGCCCCACATTGAACATGTTTTTAGTTGTAGGGGAAACCGGAGCACCCAGAGGAAACCTACGCAGGAACGGAGAGAACATACCAACTCCACATCAAAAGGTCCTGCACCGCTCCAGAATCAAATCCAGGACCTTCTTTCCATTAACCGCTTTGCCACAATGCAGCCTCATATAGAAAGTCCTCAAACTACTTTACTTTATTTTCCTACACTTTCCTATAATACACTATACTTTTACTATACTTTACATTACTATTACAATATACTTTACCATACTTTACTATACTTTACTATTCTATTATATACTATACCTGAAAAGCAGCGAACCACATGAGCCAGTCGAGCCTGTAGTGGTAGGGTGATATGACACACGGTCGCCTGTAGAGGTCGCCAGGTTTACAGAAGAACTGGTACTCCTCCCACACGGCGTTGGGGTCTTTGGGGTCTGCGGCCAGCGTGCCCTGGATGATCACCTCCGTGCGCTCCTTCGTGATACTGGACAAACAATATGGATCATTTATTAAAGAAGACATATTGTGCTTGTGTCTGTTAGTTCTAATCTATGACACCCGCGATTCATTGTTATAATTTGGACTTTTTAAATTGCTATATTGATCTAAAATGATTTAATAAAGGAAAAATGTTTTGATTTCCAATGTTAGAAAACCGCTGTGCCTAATAGGAGCTGATATTGCTATAAACGTCATCACAACTAATATTCGGAATAGCGTGGGATAGCTGCACATCACACTAGCGATCAGATTTTTCTTCTTTTTTTTTTTTCATTTGTACCATAATGACGATATAACACTGCAGAATCTTACGCATATCACAGATTAAGAAAACTAAATTGGAGAACGAAGTACAGAGCAGTGGGCGAATGCCAGAAGTGGTGAAAATGGGTTGATCGGACAAATGGCGTCTTGAAAGTAAGTGATTAAAGGTGACTCAAACGTGCATAAATCATTCCAAATACAAGTTCAAAAGGATAAATGGTGAGGGGAAACAAAAATAACATGGTTAAAAGCTCTGAAAAGTCAATTTTGGAGAATAGGTCTGCTTTAAAAAAAGATGCACAGTATGTCACTTTCTAGAGGTGGCATGATTCCAAGGAAATAGCAAGTCAAAACTACCACATCTCAGAACATTCTGGATGGAGATACATTAGTTTTTATACCATTCTGTGGAATATTATAGCCAAAGCAACACCAATTTCATGGAAACAAGTTGATCGAGGTCAAATAAGGCTCAGGATTATGGAAGTGCAAGTCCACTTACAGTAATGGTGCATATTTTTTTCTGTGTATATTAATGCAATAAACATCCAAAATGAGAAAAAACATGTTTTTATTAGAGTCTATTTTTTGGCTAAAAAGATGCATTCTGTGGCTTTAAATAAAATAAAATGTTTAATTTCTCACAGGGGAAATTATCTTGGGCAATTTACTGAGGATTTACACATTAAATATAGAACAAAATGGAAAGTCATATAAATGCAGTCATATAGTAACAGTTTAAAGTACAGAATTAATGAAAATATGGCACTATTGAGGCAAAGAATCAAGTCAAATAAAAGCATTTCTTTTTAATTTTGGATGTTTTTATTGCACAGAAAACTAGCACCCTTACTGTGAGCTGGCTTACATCTCCACAAACATGATTTTAGTCTGGAGGAGGGCCTCCTCCTGCTTGTTTCCATGGAAATGTTGTTTGTTTGGCTGTAATCTTCCACACAATTCCATCTCCATGTAGAATGTTCTGAAGTGTGGTTTTAACTTTCTAATTCCATGGAATCATGCAGGTGACGTCTTAACTGTTTATGAATTTGTTTTGAATGAACTTTTAGATTTAAAGGTCTTATATTACACAAAATATATTCCTGTGAGCTTTAAGGCATCTTATAATGTTGTTACCCCAGCAAAAACATCTTTTATTATTGGTCTGTCTATATTTCCTAAGCTTAAAATGTTCTGTTCCACTTTGTGGTGTCATGTACTGGTAGTTTTCCAGTCAACAGCTACTTTTTACCTTTTGTTCAGTCGAGATTGGCAATTCCAGGACTGAAATCATCCAAATAATTCTAGTGAAGGTGTATGGAGTTTAAAAACTGTGCAATGGAAACTATGCAGGGTTTGTGAGTTAAACATGTGTGAATTAAAAAAAAAAACACAACTTCAGGTCTGTTTGTGATGAGGAAACAACATTAGAACATAGATCAGAAGATGGCGTAAGGCAGGCTCTTTAAAAATAATGAAAATAGAGAAGTCATACTCCATCTGTGTTATAGACAGTACCTCCCAAACGCTCCGTACGTGTTGACGATTCTCAGCGGGTCGAACGAGGTGTTCATCACTTGTCTGGAGCTGACCAGGTTCATCACCACGGGAACGCTCAGAAAGCTGATCAGAATGCCCAGAGAGATGTTAACCACTCTGCGAATCAGCATACCTTAAGACAGAGACAAAAAAAACACAGCAATTAAAGGCTGCCATATGTACCTAATTTTTACCGTCTTTAAAATGTGAAAGCAAAAGTAAGGGTAGTTCATTTTAAAGTGCTCCAAAGTTCTTCCTCACTTATCGTATGCATTCTGAACATCCTAATTATTCACTGCAATAAGGTTATATGAGCTTTTCACAACTTTCAGTGCTGACTTTTGTCGTTACACCACCACAAACAACAACTACCATGCTAACAGTACTTCCTGGTTCGTGGGCAATAAAAAAAAAAGCTCTATACACACAGTGGTCTCATTTTGACTCTACTTGATACTTTGCAGAGACTTCAAGATGGGGGTGTTGGCTCAGATTAAAGTCTAATCTTAGTAGGGTGACCAGATTTTTTAAATAAAAACTTTCGGTTTGGGGTGATTGGTAATAATAAAATTGTGAAACTAGTGCGTAATTAATGAAAATTGTTCTGCACTCGGCCCATTCACGACGAACATGTGTCAGTGTAGTCACATTTTCTTTGTGTTTTGGTCATTTTTAAGCAACTTTGACAGCAGCTTGACAATTTATGCCTCTCTTTAGTGTTGGCAGGGATCAGATTGGTCACAAATTAAGACACCTGGGACATTTCTTGTATAAAACTGGGACAAATAAGTGGTTTTGGATAAATCTGCTGGGACAGGGGACACAGGACTGAAAACGAGGACTGTCCCAGGTAAATAGGGATGTCTGGTCACCCTAAACTTGAGTAACAGAGCTTCAGACAGAGCAGTGTTTCCAGTTATCACACCTAAAGAACGTTGTTGACATCAGCTGCAAAGTACACTGCAGCTTCACTGGAGCAAGAGGAATTTATTACATGGAAATATTAGGTACAGTCTTTTAACCTTATCTAGTCTTATTTATTACCACAACTTTAACTGTATGTAAATAACTTTGGCCAAGCCTTGAGGACTATGAAAAATTTGTTTACATCTCATAACTACAGTGGCCGACGGGGGAATAGGAGCGATGCAAATTCACGAACTCAAACACACGCTGAGTTTTCTTCACTGAGCTGTTACACTGACAGCGCCCCCTGCAGGTTTGAAGCACTTCCATTGCGGTGACTCTTTATGCAGCGTTTTTCATTTGCAGGTGTTTTCTTGGTTTTCATCATTTTGTGCATAGCATCGTTTCTTTATTTGTAGCGCGTTTGATGATGAGCCATTTGTCTCTGTTTCTTGCTGTGCGCTTTTTCATTTGTACCACTTTCTTTGTCCGTACCTCATTTAAACTTGTGTTTGAGGTTGTGAATTTGCATAGTTTCTGTACTTGAAGTTGTTTTCTCTAACTGAGATGCACTGGGCCATTGCAATGCGACTGGCCCCGGTCAGCCACTGTACATAGCTGCATTTGTAAAGTTATTTAGTTGCGGAAAAACCTCAAAATAAAGGGCCCATATTACACTATTTTCTGATCTATGTTATAATGTAATTTCTTCATCACAAACATACCTGGAGTTGTGTTTTGTCTCATTCACACATTTTTTAACAGACAAACACTACATATTTAGCCTGAGTTTCTTCTCTCAAACTGTAAATGCTCTGTTCCACCTTGTGATGTCATAAGGTAGTAAAGAAAGAATTCCACTGTGATATATATATATATATATAAGACCTGGAATTTCCAAACTCTACTATACAAAAGGTAAAAAGGTAGCTACTAACTTTAAAATTTCCACATCATGACATCACAAGGTGGAACAGAGCATTTTGAGCTTTGGAAGTGTAAACAATCATGTGTGAATGAAACAAAACAAGACTCCAGGTATGTTTAGGGTGGTAACAACATTATAAAATGACTAAAAGTTCACAGGAGTCAATTTTGCGTAATTTATTTATTTATTTTTCCATTTGTGCGCGTCTGTTTTGGAACAGGATTTCCCTTTCAGAAGGCTAATGTTGCTTTTAGGAGCTCTAGCATGCTCTCTTCGTGGGTTAAGTGGAAAAGCAATGACCCATGATGTCACTAATATCTCCCCAAACCGTCCCTCACCTGCGCCTGCATGTGAAACGCATCAGCATAATCCGAGCTAAAATGTCCAAGTCCCTGCTAAAGCTATTACAGTTCTCACAGTGCAGGTAGATGGCGCGTTTTAGCGTTGGCACGAAAGACGCTAACAGCTCCAATGAGACCAATTAGAGAAGTGGCCGTTAGCTTTTAGCATGTTTTACAAGCCCGTGTTGGACAAATGAAAGCGCCGGAGTATTAAATGACTAATATCGCGTCAGAGTTTTCCCAGCTACCGGCCTGCCAAGTGTTAATCTCCTTTCTAGCCATAACGCAATAAAAATACAGGACCGGTAAATGTGTTAGTATAATAAAGTCAATGGTGCGATCGAGCTGAAAGTGTGTATGACAGGTTGAGCTATCCATTTTACTCAAACACACTTTATTATATTTAAAATTTGGTGATTTTTTTTTTTTTTTGGTTTAAAGTGCCTAGGACAGGTTAGATTACTCATTTGACCAAAACACAGTTAATATCATTATATTTAAGTTTGCAGTACCAGTGTAGGAAGTGTATTCGGTTTAAAATTGTACTTCTTGGTTGGAAATCATGACATCACGCTAGGGAATTTGGTAAAGCTTAATAAGACATACCTATAAATCATTTGTAAATGTTTATTAACCTAGTCATTAAGTTTGTCCACTGATCCGAAGGCTGGCAGCTCGAATCCCGCTCACGACATAAACATCATTGGTTGAGCGGTCAGGTTGACGGTGCGATTGTAGCTCCCTCAGATGAATGCTGCTGTTGTGTCCTTGGGCAAGACACTTAACCCACCTCACCTCCAGTGTATGTATGTGTGTGTGAATGGTTGAGTGGTTAGTTGTTGTAAAGCGCTTAGAGTGCCTTGAAAGTGGAAAAGTGCTATATAAAAATGTGACCATTCACCAATAAAAACATTCATAAATGTTTAACTAGGAACATCCACAAACAATTTACATTTACATGTTTCTTAATCATTCATCATGTCATGCAGTTTTTAGTAAATGATTAGTTAATGGCTAATAAACATTTACAAATTATTTGCAGGTAGGCCTTATTATAAAGTGTTACCGGAATTCCATAACTGCTACCAAGCAACCATCTTGTACACTGCTCTGAAACTCCTCAAATGTAGGATATGACAAATAAAAATATAAGAAAACACCTTTATTTTGTTGAAATATAATTTAATGTATCAGAAAAAAATGTGTGTGCGTGTGTGTGTGTAAATTGTGTCTAACTTTTAGACAGAATTCTCCCCAGTGTGATGCCATCAATATGGAACTCTCTAAAATAAAACTCACTGCTTCCTGTAATTTTCAACATATTTTTAACCAAATTTTCACAAACCGAGGTCCACGAGAAGGAGACAACACAAGATTTTGACATAATTTGTAATAAATAAGTAGTGCAACATTTCACAATTTTGGCTTCACTTATTTTTATTTATTTTATGTAATACTTTAGTGGTCATTGTAGGACTGATTTTTGGAACTACTGCTTCTCAAATTGCGTAACTCATCAGATCTTAGCTCTTTTTTTGTCCAAGCCAAAGGTAAATTGAGGGGAAAACCATCTCACAAGATAATTTTTCTCATGTGTGCACGATTTTGTGGCAATTTTGTCTCATGAAATCTTGTGGCACGAGATGTTGTCCCATCCCTATTATTTACCATCTCAATAGCTACAAACAGGTGACACTGCCAGGTCAAGTTACACGTCACATCTGTGAAGACGCGACTCCCACCATAGTAAGAATGCAGAATACATTAGTCTCCAACAAACAGAAAAGTTACTGCTCCTTTAAAAGTGATTATAAAACCTTGCATTTGTCTAACCAGCTTGTACCTTTCGTGGGCTGTGGTGTGCGTCGGGCTGCAGTCTCTTTCTGTATCTCCAGTAGAGTTTTCTTGGCTCTGCCTCCAGATCGAAACAGGAAGGCCAAAGACGCGTCGTCGAAACAGGCCAGACTGGGAACGATGGTCAACCAGTTCAGAAAACTCAGGTTCCCACTGATGATCAAGATTACCTACAAAACAACAGGTACATGTTTCTCCAACATTTCACGCCAAGTACGACCTAATAGAAGACTGGGCTTTCTCAGCTCCATCAGATCTAAACCAGGTCTATTCAGAGGTATACTAAGGCTAAACCAAGGTAAATAGGACTACATCATTCCTACACTAGCTCTAACCAAGAAATTACTCAATGAACGGCCGATAAGTGGACAAAATGTATTCAGACTTAACCAAGAGAACTGTCAAGGATTTCATGGGCAATACAATAGAAGACTGCCTGCCTGCCTGCTCTTGATTATTCCGGTTATGACTGGGTTTTTTGAGTATCCTGGTTATGTGTGTGTCCGTGTAAACACAGTCTCCTGATTTGAGTATCCTGGATATGCCAGTATCCTGGTTATGAGAAACTAGGATTCTCTTACTGTTTTTTCTGATAGTATCCAGGATACTGTGGCATGTACACGCAGTATCCTGATTTCTCAAAACGGGAGCTGTACGGAGCATGTGCAAACTAAAGTAACAGATACAGGAGGAGCAGTGAATTTTCCAAAATGACTCAAACTCCTAACTGGACCTTTTAAGTAATCATATTCTATACTTTAAAAAAATAAAGCAGTGTAGTGTGTAATATAGCCACATTTTAACACTAGGCTCAGCTCTGTATCAGTCTGCATTCCTCTTGAACGAAACTGATGCTGTGAAACTGTGTTGTACTTTTCAGCTGTTATAAACGACTTTCACTGAAGTTGTGACAGAGCTCCACAGTTTTATGTTTTACTTGAATGCATGTCTTCTTTTTTGTTGTTAGAAACCTGTTAAAAGCTTTAAGTTACAAAACTTCCTACATGTTTAGCTCCTTGTCATATCTGTACCATAGTTACAACAGCAACCACACTAAATTTCCATGATACTCTGATGGCGCGTGTATACAGGGACATGAGTATCCTGGTTTCTCTAGGTGCATGTAAACACTATATCCAGAATAGTGTGATAACCTAGATACTTGTGCACATGTAAACGCAGTCACTGAAGAACCTTAAACATTACGTAGGGATGTAGCGATATCCAAATCTCTGGGTACGATATTATCGTGATATGCATCTCACGGTGTGATATTTATTGTGATATTTTGAAGAAGCTAATATAATTGTAGATGAGACACTTTTTTTGCTTTTAAAATACCTTGACAAGATTTTGGTGTGTTTTATTACCGTCATAATCCCAAGAATTCAAGTAAAAAACATATTTCCTCTGTTGTCTCTGTTTAAATGAATCATGGGATATGTAGTTTCCTACGTTTATAAGCTTTTACTGCAATAAAACCATGCATTTAAGCAAAGGAACTCATGCTTCGATATATTGTGAGCGTCCACGATATTATTGTGAGACTTCTGATTAAACGATATCACGATATTTCAGTTATTGGTACATCCCTAGAATTAAGTGTAGGAAAATATATGATGTCATGAAACAATGTTGAATTATTTGCGAAGATAAATGTATTCTATTCTGCTGTTTTGACATAACTTTAATTCAAATAAAAGAAAATGACCATGGTATAACAAAGAAAGCTCCAGGCCATATGGTAAATGGTCACATTTTTATCCAGCGCTTTCCCACCTTCAAGACACTCAAAGCATCAACATCAAGGAACCACTCACCCATTCACACACACATTCATCCACCAGTGTACACAGACACTGGGGCTGAGGTGGTTTAAGTGTCTTGCCCAAGGACATAACGACACCATTCATCTGTGGTAGCAGGAGTTACACCGCCAACCTGTGGGTCATTGGATCTGACCGCTCTACCAGTGATGTTTATGTCGAGAGTGGAATTCAAACCACCAACACTCAACCGACTGAGCTACTGTCACCCATATTCAAACATCAACTTGAAATTGGGGTAGCAACAGTTTGGTTAGTTCATAGTTCTTCATTTGTGCAAATTAATATGTAGAAAGTATTTATTTTAGGAGTTATTTACAGGAGTTAGACGGGAAATGAATTGCTGTTATAAAACGAGAATGTAAAATACCTGAAAGAGGATCTGTAAGGCCCCGTTGACCATGCACATCCTTCGGCCCATGAAGGTGAAGAACGGCACGATGAGCTCGATGAAGTGGTTGGACAGAGTCTCGAAGCGATGGAACCACCAGGGGGAGCGGTGCATGTAGTAGGACATCGGGTTTGGAACGGGCTGGGTCTGGACACAAGATGGAAGGAAGGTTAAAGTTAGGACTGCACAACATTTGGTGGAAGTCTGTCACATGTTTGTTTTCATGGAGATGTTTTGGCTTTGCTTTGTCTAGAATGTTCCACGGTAGGTCTATTTCTAGGGAGACAACTATATGCTACATTACAAGTCAGATCTGTGGAGACGCAACCCTATCCACAGAGAGAATTTTAGTATTTTTGAGCAATAGAAACACTTGTAAGAAATAAATGCTAATCGGATATGTATAACGTCATACCATGAGACATTCCAGGCAAAGCAATAACATCTCCATGGAGACAAGCAGAAAAGTTGCGCAATGTACCTTGAAATCCCAATAAATTTTATATTCTACTAAAATAACAGAAGATGAAAATGTATTCTTCCCAATATTTGAAGAATAAAATTTGAATACTTGACATTTGATAAGAACTTATGACTAGAGCTGGACAACTGATACTTTGGGGCTGATGTCATCAACATTCTGTGGAGGTGTGACGCTAACTATAGGCTCTGCTCTGTCTGAGGCTTTACTAGATTTTAATTAGTGCTTTATTTTAAAACTAAAATCACAAGCTAGTTAGGATTAGTGAAGTTTCAGTTCCTTTTTGTTGAAAATTAAACACCTCAACAGGACCATGAACGCTTGTACTGATCACAGGCTCCTGAAAATGTGTTGTGTTTTTTCTTGAGTTTTACGACAATTTCAAAACTTTTTTCAGTGTGCATTGTGTCACCATGGTAATGCCTACATTCTACTATTACAGATACACATGGAACACCCCCAGCCAGATGTTCCTGCAAATATGAAAAAAAAAAATAATTCAATTTTTTTCCTCAAATAATTTTGGATTTTTTTCCTTAGAAGTTTAACCACATGTTTTACTGATTTACCTCTTCTTTAAAAAAACTGATCATTGACATAGACAACAATTAGATGTCAACAATTTCTTGTAACATTGTGGGTGTACAGGCAGAAAGTCATAGCAATTCAGCCCTTTTTACAATATCTCAAATTGTTTTTTGTTTTTTTTTTGATGGCAGAAGAATATAAAGCAGGCTTTACAGGCAGTAATTACAAGTGCTAGTTAATTTGCAAAAGATGCACCATAATAAGGGCAACTTGAGTCCAGTGAAGATGCATGGAACAATTAGTATTAAGAAGGGGTGTAACGATATCCAAGTCTCAGGATACGATATCGTCACGGTATGAACCTCACAGTACTATATTTATTGCAATATCGTGGAAAAGCTCATGATATGGTGGGGAGGCTCACGATTAGGAATGTAACAATATCCAAATCTCTCGGTATGATATTTTCACGATGTATATCTCACGGTACGATATTTATTGCGAAATTTTGCAGAGGCTCACAAAATTAAATATGCTACTTTTTCCTCTTAAAATGCGTTGACAAGACTTATCCCAAAGAACTAAGACTTAAACGCGCTTAGAGCAGTTATTTCTTCTTGTAGCCTACACTGAAATGGAGCAAAGGATCATGGTCGATGTAGTTCCCTCTGTTTTTTTGGCTATTGCTGCAAAATGACTCTTAATTTAGGCAAATAGACTTGTAAATCGATTGTGATTTTTATTGTGATGATCCATGATATTACTGTGAGAACTTTATTTCTGTTATTGTTACATCCCTAGTATTAAGTAAATGCTAAAAAGTCTCAGTGCACAATAGAAGTCTGAATAGTCGACTAATTGAAAAAATAAGTGCCGACTAGTCTACTACTGCAATAATCATTAGCTGCGGCCTTAGCATTCACGTATGTTTTCGATGGGAGAACGTGCTAAAAAAAAAAAACTTAAAATGTCCATCTGTATAATGTTATATTATAGCGTCTTTAATGTGGTAGCAAATTGCAACAAGTGCTTGCAAGGAGCCTTTTCATTTCTGAGAGATTCAATTACCCACTATGGATATGGATTAAGTACTCCCCATTGCATCATAAAACACTGGATACATTTAAACACATCTCCAGCCTTCATAAGCGATGTGACCTATTACCACCACAAACTTCTAAATGTGCTGGGAACCAAAGCCCCATTAAAGTATAGTGGGTCATTAGTAATATTAAAGGCCCTGTACCCGATTTTTCCCATGTATTTGAGCTAAATTTGTCTTGTGCCCTTACAGATGTGTTAAATGAGCAGCTCTTGACGTCAAAATGTGCTTGCTGCGTGCCGTCTGTATCAAATTATAAAGCGTTTTACTGTCCGATAATCAGGAAGAGCGTCTTAGCATGCTAGTTATCACAGTCATCATGGTGAATAATTAGGACGCTCTGAATAAGGTAAGTGAGGAATAACTCTGGACCACTGCAAGCTGTTTAAAATGATCTAGTTTGGTTTTTCACATCTTTAAAGACGGTAAAAAACATGTACAGTGCCTTTAATGGGCCTGTATCCAATATTTTCATATGTTTTTGAGCAAAATGTATCTTGAACTATCACAGATATACTGTATAAGCATCTCTTGAGGTCACAGTATGGCTGCTGCAGGCTGTCTGTATTTAATTATAAACCTTTTTTAGTGCCAGATAATCAGGAAGTGCACGTTAGCATGATAGTTGTTGTTGTTGGCTTGACCGTGATGACAAAACTCCACTCAGGTCTTGGTGAGAGTTGTGAAAAGCACTTATAAACTCATCTCTGTGAATAATTAGGATACTCTAAATTAAGGCTGGGTATCATTAAGAAGTTGCAGATACGATACATTCCTCGATACACGGGCCACGATATGATACGTATCTCGATACAGTGAGCTTTCGATTCGATACGATGTATTTCAAATCGATTTGGAACGGTTCAATAAAAAATAAAGGCTAAATTATGGCTGTGATACTAAAAGTCTTTGTTTTAAACCACTTCTTGTTCAAAGTTCATATGAAACACAAACATTTTAATCCTCAAAACAGTGAAAATGTCAAATGGGTTGCATAAACGAGTTTCCTTCTGCTAAACAAGCAACAAAACTGTAGCACTGTAACAAAATAATTTAGTAAAATGTACCAAATATACTCTTGGCGATATCTATCAATACAGCAGCCCATGATATCGATACTGTATCATCACATTATACGATACGATATATTGATATTTTTTATATTTTTGAACACCCCTACTCTAAATGTATACGGTAGGAATAACTTTGGAACACTGCAAACTGTTTACAATGAACTACTTTGGTTTTTCACATTAAAATATCCCATTTTCTCTGAGCAAAATGTGTTTTGCAAAAAAAGAAAGAGAACCCCACTGCAGTTCTTTGAAGCTCCCAAATTCCCAAATGATACCACAATGTGACGTTTCAGGTCAAGCTCTTCTTCAGACATGAAGTCACACTCTGGGGTCATTGAAATAAAACTTTGGCAGCTTCAAAGAACTGCAGTGCGGATCTCGTTCTTCTTTTGCACAATTTTTTTCTTTGGTCCCAGCATGAAGCTTTTGAGGTCATAATATGTCCGCAGGTAGTTCCTGAATCTAATTATGAAAACTTTTATTGTCAGGAAGCGCATGTTAGCATGCTAGTCATTGTGTCATGGCGAAACTCTACTCTGGTCTTTGAAAATTGTGAAAAGCACTTATAAACTCATTAGGACACTCAGAATGTGTAAGGTAAGTGAGGAATAACTATGGATCACCGCAAACCGTTTAAAAAGATCTACTTTTTCACGTCTTTAAAAAAGTAAAAATCCGGTGCAGTGCCTTTAATTCCTATACGCAACATTCATAACGGTAAAACTCAACTCCCTCCTCCCTGACATAAAGGTCTTAATCTTGGAATGGGGAGTAATTTCAGTAGCCCTAAATAAAGTCGGAAAATTATTCAAATGAAGGAAACCCAGCCTACACGCCGACATACACTGGGGCCTTATGCTCGTGTGTACAAATCATTAGCCGCGTGTGGATGTAAGCGGCGCGTAAACCCCGTAAAAGCTAATGCGCAAATAGAGTTAGGTAAGGTGGTGAAAAAATAAACACGCACCAGAAATAGGAGAGGGGGAAAGAAAAACAACGCGACTGGCTCTGCATCTATACAGCCGTTGTTTGAGGAAGATTGAAACAACATTTAACCAGTAGTTTACCAAAACGCGAGAAGCACAGCAAAGTCGAGGAGGTAACAAATGTGTAGCTGTAAATGTGTTGAGCGTAAGCTGAATGAAGGCAGTGTGTAGGGAGTTAAAAAAGTGTGTATTTTAGCGTATAGAAGGGAAGTGATTTCAAAGTACTGTGTGTTCCTAGGGCTGTAGTCTACTACTTTTGATTAAAATAAAAACTGGGCGGGAAAAGGTTAGGGATGAGTGATATATCGGTACTAGTATTTGCCGATATTGGTATTATAACAGGTTTTGTTACACCATACCATACTGACTTTATTTAAAAAGCACTTTAAAGACTTTATAGCTGGGCAAACTGCTGAACACAAACATAGAATAGACAAGGACAATCACAGTCAAGGCTACAATACAACTACTAAAAACACAGAAAACAATAAAATACTCAAGTTAATTAACAAGAAATGTACATCTCACTTGTTAAAAGCCAGTGAAAAAAGTTGCATTTTTAGGAGTGATTTAAAAACAGGTACAGACTCCATCTGTCTAATCTCTAATGGCAACTGGTTCCATCTGGTCAATCTGGTTCATTAGGTTATGTTTAAATATATAACCTAATCCTAACCTAACCTAATAATCAAAATATATAAATTAGTGCTTTTAATCGATTAAAATATTTAATCGCGATTAATCTCATGAATATCATAGTTAACTCACGATTAACTGGAAATTAATTGCACATTTTTGTCAATTGAATAATAATTTTAATACTCTTAACATAGAAAAGTGGATAGGCTTGCTTTGTGGATTTTTTTTTTATGCAACTGAGTTTGTGACGGTGTTTGTCTGCCCCAGTGCTGCTGTACTAAGCTAATGCATTTGGAGGAGAAAAGAAGTCCAGAGGCAGAAGTATCTTTTAAATAGTGAGACCGATGAGTCCCCGCTCCTCTGTGAGTTTATGGAGATAACAACAGCTGAGAGCAGCAAGAACAGCTGGAAGAGAGCCTGTAAAACTTCTGTCTCTGTCACAGTCCTTATCGGAGGAAAGCGCGGATTTGCCGTATGTTTTGGAGTGGAGTTTATTCGTGTTTTCCTCATATGAAAAACATCGGCATACGTGACAGGGCTTCTCAGTTTCAGACAAATTATTTTGCTTCCTGTTTACAGTTAGATCCTGTAGTTTTTCTAATGTTACTAGCAGTGGCCACAGATTATGAAAAAACTAGTTTGCAATAAAAAAAATAAACGCTGTTAAAATGATTTCACGTTAACTGGTTAATAACGCAATATTTTTGACAGCACTAACATAAATATATCTAAACTCTAATATAAGCCGTTTATTTCTATGGATATGCATTGCTCTGCCTGGAATGTTCCGCAGTATGATATTATGCCTTACATTTATTTAATTACAGGTGGTTTTATAGCTCAAAAATACTTACAAAAACAGCGATTCTGACTGTGAGTGGGGTCGCCGTTCCGCAGACCTGACCTGTAACTTGGCCTAATTTGATTTCCGTGAAAATAGAACGGTTTACTGCCATACTGTGAAACATTCCAGATAAAGGAATAACATTTCAGAGGAGAAAAACGTTTGATGGACCTCCACCGGAAAAGTTACACAACACACCTTTAAAGCAGATAACCAACACGATATGAAGTGCAAATATCAGCCCAATATACCTGCCAACCAGTATCTCGATTCACAATACGCTGGACATTGTATTACTTTTTTTTTTTTTTTTTTTTTGAAGCATTGACTGCAGTTCAATAGCTCTGTCAAAAAGTAAGCAATGTGTGAAAATATGGTTCCCACACAAAAACATAACCGTACATATGACATCACATTAGCGAGTCTTTAGTGCCTTCTGTTAATTACATCCAACTGTTATTTCAGCTCTCCCTTTGGCTCCGCTGTTTTTCACTGCAATCCTGGAGGTGTGAGACTAATTTAAAGAGATCCACTGGAGCTGCTAATTAACTCGGCAGCTTGTGTTAATGACAGAAAAGCTCTTAATGTGTTGCAGTCTTCCTGATTTAAAAGCACCTGACCTGATTTTTACAGTCTTATAAGCGTTTCGTGTTGGTCTAAGGTCATTCCTCACTTGTCTTGTGTATTCCGAGCATCCTGATTATACACCGTGACGAGTTTAGAAGCTTTTCACAGCTCTCAACAGTGCAAAATAGCTTGGTCAAAAATTAAGATATAAACACTTAAATCTATCAGAAAATGACTTAAAAGTGATGAAATTATCTGTCCAGGCAGGAAGATCATTTTACTCTACAAGTTATCTTAAAACAAACTATTATATTTTTTGGACCATAAGTCACTCTTGTTTATGGTTTGGGTGTTTTCTGTGACTTATACTCCGGTGCGATTTGTATATGTCAACATTTTCACACTGACAGCCACAAGAGGGCGTTCTAGGCTTATGTACTCCTGTACCACTGTCACCTCGCACACTACTGCGCATGTCAACTGCAGAAGAAAGAGAAGGAGCCACTGTCCTGTCTGGTGTATGACTGACCATTTAAAAACAAATATAAAGACAACTGAAACCATCCTGTCAGGATTCAGAAAGGCTGGAATAATTTTAACTGGGACTGATGCTAAGTCTGATGACAGCTACACAGAAGAGGAAGTGGCGCTTCATTTACCACCAGAGGTCGCGGAGTTGCTCAGAAGTGACACCGAGGATGAAGAATTGAATGAATTTAGTGATTTGGAGTGAGATGGAGAGTTTGGTAAACTTGTTCTGTTCTGTTGTTTATGTTATAGTTTATCTGAAGAACTGTTCATATGTGACGTTAACAGTCTGTTGTTCTCTCTTCTATTGTTATTACTAGAACTTGACTTTCAAGATGAAATATCGGTTCCTGATCTCTGATTTTATAAAATAAATTTCCCCCCAAAAGTGCGACTTATATATGTTTTTTTCTTCTTCATTACGCATTTTTGGGCTGGTGCGACTTATACTCCAGAGCGAAAAATAAGTACTTAAAAAACAAGACAATAACACGATGAATAACCTGATATAAGTTTTAAAATCTTGTCCAGATCAGAGAAATTTGCAGAGATAAGACCAGAGTGGAGTTTTGCCATCATGGTGTCGCTAAGAACAACTAGCATTCTAACACCCTTCCTGATTATCTGACTGTACAATGCATTAAGTGCTTTATGTTATAATGTTGTGTCCTCATCACAAACAGACCTGGAGTTGTGTTTTGTTTCATTCACACATGTTTAACACACAAACCCTGCAGATCTGCGCTGAGTTCTTCTCTCAAAGAGAACACACTCTGTTCCACTTTGTGATGTCAGCCCTGTGTTTCAGCCTTGGAATTGCATATTTTTCAACTGACCTGAAGGTAAAAGGTAGATGTTAACTTGAAAACTACCACTACATGACATCACAATGTGGAACAGAGCATTTTGAGCTTTGGAGATGTAGACAAACTAATAATAAATGGTTACTCAAATGTGTAAGAATGAAATAAACCACAACTTTAGGTAGGTTTTGGATTAGGTAACAACATTACGACCTTTACTACAGACAGCGTGCATCTGACTTATACAATATATCTGTACTGAGGCAAGACTAATTTTGCTCAAATACATGGGAAAAAAATCTGGCACAGGACCTTTAGCAGTTCCATTTGGCATGTGATAATTGCCTGGCTGGGTGCTTACCTCGTAGTGGTAGTCCATGCAGGTGAGGTCCCGCCAACATTTGTCACCTCGGATTTTAATGAGGCCCTGGAAGAGAGAGGCCAAGAAGACAGTGTAAACAGCCTGTTAGGAAAATGTGAAGGCAAAATATCCAAACAAAACAGGAATAATTTGAATTTATGTCAAGTAAAAATACCCGAGACGGTCAATTATGGGTAATGTGCAAAACAAAGATTATTTTATACCTTTTCGCATTAAAGTGGTGTCAAGACGTCAGCTTGCAACACTGTAGTTTGCTCCTTTGATTGAGCAGCTAAAAAAGGCCGCGATGATGTGAATGTGTATATAGATTTTACTCCTCACATTGTGATAAATAAACCCTCCACACACACATAGAGTACATTAGATTGTGGTTCTGAGCTGTGGGCTGGAGGTCGAGCTGCTGTCTGCTCTGTGCCCACACAGTGAGCTGATAATGTCATCTGGTCCTGATGTATTACCTCATACCAACCACCCGAGTTACACAGAGTAGAGGGAGTTCTGCAGCGTTAAGGCCAAAAAGGTAATACACAATGTACACCAAAGGGACACAGATGCCTACCAAAAACACATGCTCTTAATGTGTCGCAGTCTTCCTGATTTAAAAGCATCTGGCCTGATTTTTACAGTCTTATAAGCGTTTTGCATTGGTCCAAGGCCATTCCTCACTTGTCTTGTGAATTCTGAGCATCCTGATTATACACCGTGATGAGTTTAGAAGCTTTTTACAGCTCTCAACACTGCAAAAACTTGGCCAAAATTTAAGCTATAAACACTTAAATCTATCAGAAAATGACTTAAAAGTGGTGAAATTATCTGTCCATGCAACAAGATCATGTTACTTCTTGACGAGTTATCTTAAAATAAACTAGCCTGATTCATCAGCCGGTTTCACTTCGTGGAAACTGTCTGACCTCGCAGCATTAGGATTTGTTCACTCGATGGTAGGCAGGTACCTTTTTATTTAGTCAGTTGCTATTTGGTCGTGACGTATGTAATGCGCCAAATCTCGCAGGAAGAAGGACAGTAACGCGTTCCCCTTGATAAATTCACCAAACATTCTCTTTGTGCCGGCTTTAAATCCTCGATCTTGGGAATCATGTATCGCAGAGTACACGAAAGGGAGACATGCCTGCCAAAAACACATGCTAAATTAACATTAAAGTATGTACTAGAATGTAATGGATTTCTCTTTTCTGTGGCAGACATCGTTGTTCAGGGTTGTTATTGAGAAAATAAAGCAAAACATCTTGTTTCCTGCTTCAGAGAATTCTGAATTATATATATTGTGCCAAAAAACTAAAATGTAAATGCCTATTACTATTACACATCTGAACAGCCCCCACGGTGGAGTGTTTCAAGTCTCGTCTTAAAACCCACTTTTATTCTCTGGCATTTAACACTGCATGAGTTGTGTGGTCCTCTGTGTCTTTATTTATTTTATTTTACTTATTTACTGCTTTTTTATGATTTTTTTTTTACAGATTTTTTTAGGACTGGTATGACCAAATTTTAGCAATTTACCTTTTTGTTGTCTTCATTTTATGATCTCAGTGCAATGCGCTCTAAACAGGAATCAACCAAAACGCAATTCATCGCTTTTAGTTTGTCCAGAACTCTGCTGCGTGTCTTTTAACAGGGAGCAAAAAGCGCAATCACATTACCCCAATTCTTGCGTCGTTGCACTGGCTTCCTGTTAATTTTAGAACTGATTTTAAGATTTTATTATTTGTTTTTATAACTTTGAATGGACTGGCGCCACAATACATCTCGGACCTCATCCAAATGTACACGTCCGCATGCTCTCTGAGGTCTGAGGGCCAGCTCCAGCTCGCGGTCCCCAAAACAAGACTTAAAACCAAGGGGGACAGGTTCTTCCCTGTGGCCAGCCCCAAACTCTGGAACGCTCTACCCCCCCCACGTCCGAACAGCCCCCACAGTGGAGTGTTTTAAGTCTCGTCTTAAGACCCACTTTTGTTCTCTGGCTTTTAACACCACGCAAGTTGTCTGGTCCTCTGTGTCTTTTATGTTATTTATTTATTTATAGTTTTTAGCAATTTTATTTTTTAGTACTGCTTATGTATTGATTTTATTATTATTTTATTTATTTATTCTATTAGTGTCCATATTAAACATAATTCTGCAGATTTTTTTTCTTTTTAAAGTCAAATGTTTTGTATTGCTATGTGAAGCACTTTGGAAACTGCTTTGTTTGTAAAATGTGCTGTAGAAATAAAGTAGATTTGGATTTGGACTATTATAAATGTATCATTTTGATGCTTAACTTTGCACGCTCAAACATGGAGAATGATTTAGGTTTTATAAGCATCCAACTACCCCATCTGTGACTTGTGCAAAGACTAAGATTTGCGTCGTAGTGGAGATACATTTCTAAAGAAGCAGGGTCTTGCAGGACTGTGGCGCACGCACAAATCTGACTATTGCTGCTGCCAATCTGGTTATGGTCAAAACAAGGTGAGAAGGGCATTCCAAGACTCACTGAGAACACTGTCCCCCTCAGGCTTGGTCCTGAAAATGGGAAGCACAAATAGGACTAGACAATGTTTGTGTCCAAGGCCGGGTACTTCTGTTTAAAGGTAGCAGTACAATACACAAAAATGTGAAGGTGTCTCTGGTACTGGAAAAAACACTGGTGCCAAAAAGCAAACCTTAAAAGTTATCCAGCCCTACTTGTGGCAAATGATACTGCAGTAGTGTGCCTGTATCCCTTCATACTCATTGCCAAAAACAGTGAGAGTAATGGAAGGGCATCTGGGGTAGGCTTAGTCAGATCTCTACTGTTACAAAAATTGAAAAAAGGGAGCAACTGAATGAGAAAAAAATGTGAAATGCCTTTTGAGGACACAGTGTAACCCCCTGTACTAATGAAACCTGATCAAATCTCACACGACTACAGTAAAAGCCACTTCCCACATCTATAATCATGTTCTGCCAATATCGAAGTCACTATGTACTAAGCCAGAGCAGGAAACTTTTAAATGTTTACAAAGCTTCCGAGAAATGACACAATTTAACCGCAAATTTTGTTTTTAAAGTTCCTATATTATTACGCAAAATTGACTCTTGTGAGCTTTAAGTTGTGTTAGAATGTTATTACCTGATCAAAAACATGACTCTAAATGCTCAGCTCCACCTTGTGATGTCATGACAGTTAACATCTAAATTTTACCTTTAGTTTATTAGCGATTGGTGATTCCAGAGCTGAAATCATCCAAATGAGTCTAATGAAGGTATATGAAGTTTAAAGGCATAGTGGAGCACTTCCTGTATTACCACATGACATTACAAGGTGGAACAGTGTTTTCCATTTGAAAGAAGAACTCCAGGTATGTTTTTGATGAGGAAACCACAAAACAGCAGAATATAGGCCCTTTAAATAAAAAAGTTTTAAAATAAATGCTATCAATGGGACTGCAGTACAATATTTTCATCTTGACATTAAATGATAGAACTTTTCTCCAGCAGCTTGTCTCTATGGAGTTATTATTGCTTGCCAAAAATGTTCCACAGTAAACTCTATCTCCATGGAGACAAGCAGGTGACGGGGAGACTAGTCCATGTTTATCAAGGTATTTTTGAGCAATAACAACACCTGTAATGGTTTAAACAGGATATAATGCTATACTGTGGAACATTCTAGGCAAATGAATCTCCAAACATCTCCATGTAGACAAGCAGACAGCAGAAAGGTTACATAGTGTATCTTTGCGTAAAATATAAAAGTAATATTTCCTGGATAATGGATATTGCATCTTTTAAAAGTACTTGTGTATACAGCTCAAGTTATTGACATGAACGAGCAAATGAGCTGTTATTTAGCAGATCATTCACAAGGCAACGGGAGACATGAATTATTCAAAACTGTCTTGCTAATGATGGTAATAATGAATATAATTTATCTACTAATTAATTAGTCAATATTATATGCCAACATGTGTGTGCGTGTGTGTGTGTGTGTTGCACACATGGCATTTCCCTCAAACCATATGTGAGTCTCCAGCTGTGCTCATTATTCACTGTGGGAGATGCTGGGTCTGTTTTTAGTCACTATCACACTGCTCTTTAAAGGCTGTGAGCATTTGGATTATTCAAATATAGTCAAAAGATCTATTTTCCTTTGAGGCCTTTATAGATGATTGTTAGAACTGTGTTACACCTACAGACCAGAAGCTCATATGGGCATGTATTAGGGAAGTGTTAAAGATAATGATTTAAATGTAGCTTTGAACATAGTACAGTAACTGTTAAAGATACAGTAATTTAAAACTCTGTTGTTTCTAGATTATTTGAGAGGGAGGGGTTTTCCCATGACCCTGTTCAGTTTGGGCCTAATGTTGCGGGAGCAGCCTATAATCCTGGAGAACACACCTGTAGAGGACAGTATACAGACACAGGGTGGACACAGTCACATGAAGCATGTGCAGTGTCTCTGCTCCTAGTGCTACTGTGGACCACACTGACGCTCACCATGTCTCTACCCGGTGTCCCTGTGCTGCTGCTGGCTGCCTGTCAGGCCCAGCCTCTGTCTGAGCCACACACTGGACAAGAGCAGCTCCTACAGGACGACACTGTGGACATCAGCACCAGGATCCTGGTCTCCAACAACTAGTCTGACACCTTCCTCCTGGAAGGAGACCTGCTGCCTCCCACACACAGGAACACCATGACGTGCTGGTACAACAGCGGTCTCTGGCCCAAAGGCTCTGACGGCCTGGTGACCATCCCCTACACTGTGAGCAGTGAGTTCAGCAGTTATGAGACGCAGGAGATCATCTCTGCCCTAAGGGACTTCCACAGCAAAACCTGCATCCGCTTTGTCAGTACCAGTACGACTGCAACAGCATCGAGAACCAGAGCAGCTGTTTCTCTGATCTGGGGAGACAGGGAGGCAGACAGTGCTATCTCTCAGCAGATTGGGCTGTGTCTATAAAGGTGTCATCCAACACGAGTTCAACCACGCTATGGGCTTCCAGCACTAGCAGACCACGAGTGACCATGATCCATTACATCCAGATCAACTGTGTCAATATGGAGCCTTCCATGGCCTACAACTTCTACAGATACAACACCAACAACCAGGGCACGCCCTTCGACTACGGCTCCATCATGCACTACAGAAGAACAGTCTTCTCCATCAAGGGTCTGGATACCATCATCCCTCTCTGCAGCAGCTGAGTCTACATCGGACAGAGACAGGCTCTGTCCCCCTGGGACATCAGGAGGATCAACCTGCTCTACAGCTGCACTGCCTATTTACATTGATACAAGTGTGCATGTTCATGTCAATGTCTAGAAGATTGATTTCATGTCCATCTATGAACATGTGCCTTTGTTCTATTTAAATTCTATTAAAGTATGAGCAATGATATTTGTAGCTTTTGTGTTTCCAGTATTTTCTGAGATCTTTTCTCCTGACTAGAGCTCGATGCACTGTATACTGTATGCTGTATACATATGTACTGTATACACATGACTGTTCTCAACACATCCTGAATAAATGTAATTTGTGTGCAGTAATGTCTGTAGTATGCTCCTCTTTGGTCAACGGCTGAAAAGACCAGTGGGGGGTCTCACATCTAGAAGATGAACTAATGTTAACATTTACAACAGTAGAGTGCAGACAATGCACTTTCCTTTCCTATAATAATCTGAAAACTTTTAAAGATACATTACAGCAGAACATGCAACATTAAGCAGAATGCAAGAACATGTTTCCTCTTTTTGTAGCGTCTTCTAAAGCTGAAGCATGCTGCATAAAACCAATATGGAGATAATTCTGCAGACTTATTTATGGAATATGAGGATCTGTGGACTTTTGATGAACCACAGGAAGAAGAATAAATGTGGAGGTTAAAAATAGCTGCTTTGTTGTTTCTGCTCCTTCATGGTCCTAATAAAAAATACTCACCTGCAAGCAGCTTCAAGTGCATGTGACAGGTTTTCATGTTTTTCTAATTATTCCTTAGCTTGGTGAAATAGTAAAAATGGAAAACATATTTATCATAGTTTTACATCAGTTAAGTGACAGTTTGTGGAAATAAACTGAAAAGAAAATTACAAAAAATACGGGAAGTAGTGCTAAATCCCTGTGCCTATGTCATCACCACAAAATATCGATCCAAAAGGCACGGTTAATTTACACACTAGGAAGGACTTTTTTTCTGGTAGTTTAAACCTTCATTTAACAAAACAACAGTCCTTGTTTTTAGGGGGACTTTTTGTTTAAAAATATAATGATGTTAGTTATGTTTTAGTGAAATTAGTGAACTAACCTGTCATATGCACTGAAAAAGGGAGTATTAACTGCTATATTCACCAAAAACAATGTATTAACATGTTTTATAAGATTAACTTTTGTTTTGGACTCCATTAGTCTCCCCACGCCAAGTCACTCCCCCTTCAGAGCCACAACACAATCAGTGTGCATCTCTCTAATGAACCTACTGCACATCGCATCAGGTTTGCCATGTTGCTGTGTAGTTTTCTATGATGTTTTAGTAGATTTATGGAGAATTGTCGTTTGGGAGCATGGGTGACGTATGCTTGTGGCCAGAGCATTGCACAAAATCTCACAGCTAACTGTAAGGAGGGTTTGAATAGGGCCCAGTAGAGATCTCTAAATTACTCAAACATGCATGGGGGACATTTTAAAAACTCCTCTGGCATGTTTTTGATGAGGAAAACGTTATAACATGGTAGAAAAAAAAAAGCATAATATCCCCTCTTTAATACATACATATATTTATAGTACATTATTTACATCTGTCTGAATAGATCAATATAAAACCTCCAAACAGTTATTGAGTACCTGAGAAGTATTTTTGCCAAATATTGCTCTTTTTTTTAACTGAATTACCTTTGCCTATTCAGTATACAAAGTTAAGGAGGTAGTACTCACAGCTCCCAGCATGATGCGCACTATGAGCCACCTGTAGGTCCACACACAGATGAGGGAGGGGGGGCAGCGGCGGGGCATCTGGGAGAAACTCCACAGAGGACACAGGAAGATGGCCAAGAACCCAGTCTCCAGCAGCTGACTCTCCCAGCCTGCACACACCCAGAGGTTGTGGTTTTTGTTCCGTTCATTCATTCATTATATGGAGGCTAGTTTAAAGGAACTGAAAGAATTGAAGATTTGTGTTTTAAATTCCATAAATGTGACCTATTATTCTTAGTTTCAGTTAATAAAAGATATAATTTGGTGTTTTGGTTCTCAAGATGATAATCCAAAAGAAAGCAGAATGTAACACAATCTTGAGTCAATGCTAGTGCAGCCTCTGCAGCTCAGGGTGTGAATTCTGGAGGTTCTGAGCTTTCATATGAGACCAAACGTCTGTCCATATACTGAGAATAAGAAAAACTTCTATGTGTACTCCATCTGGAGGTTAAAGAGCCATTAAACACCCTCCCCAAACTTTACTCCACCCATAAACAAAATCTGAAAAATCCTCCAGAGTGGGAGGTGCCCAGTCATCCAGGTGTGGGGCGGGCTCTGGAGTGATGATAGACAGCCAACTAACAGCCACAATAATCCAACAGGGCACAGGCCTGTGCACTCCAAACTTTGAAACAGAGCGGACATTGTGTACGCCGTTTCCCTTTTCTCCAGACACGGCGGGACGTCGCAGTCAGCAGCGATGCCAGGTCGGGGCAGGGCTGAGAGGGGCTTCTCACATACCAGCCAGTGGCTGTGCCCGTCATGTAATAACCTGCATCTGACTCATTGGTGGCCATTACTCCAATTCGAAAATTCAAATGTACTGGCCATAGTTGATCCTAAAGAGGCTGTTACAAACACAACTTTTGACCTAAAAGACAGATTTTTAACAAATATGCACTAAAATGCCAAAATAAGGCCAGGGATAGGTATACATTTGTATTTTAGACCCATTTACACAGATAATCAGAAGGAAAAAAGTGATTTAGGTGTTTAGTGGCCCTTTAAGGCTCTGGCAACACAGGTTCAGTTGTGAGTGCAGTACCTTTTTTAAAATGTAAGAGTGCAAACTACATAAATATTTTTTAAATCTCTTAGTGCTATTAATAGGGCTGTAACAAAATAGGCAATATTTTGATTTAGCTAAATTAAAATTCCTGCAATAATCCTTTGGATTTTTACTCTACAGTTAAACTGAATATGGATATAAAAGCTCATCCTAAAATAAGATACATAGTCCTCAGATGTCCAATGCAATCAACCGTTTAAGTCTGCTTGTCTCCATGGTTGCTTTGCCAAGAAAGTTCCAGTATGCTCTTAAACTAACAGGTTACACCATCAGGACAAGTTACAGGTCAGATCTATGGAGAGGAAAGTCCACTCACCTCAAGAAAGCATGTTTTAATGTATTTTTTGGCAGTAAACACAACTCTAACTGAATAAATACAAGATATCTGTGCTTAATCCCATACTGTGGAACATTCTAGACAAAGCAATAACATCACCAAGGAGAAGTATAGCCGATAACAGACCCTAAACTAGAAAAGTTACATAGTGCATCTTTAAAATATGTTAGTGAAGCTCAATAGTGACCACCCCGACCCTTTTTCCGGAAGTGACTTTCTTATTTATGTTTCCCATAGACTTTCCAAAAAATATAAAAGAAAATTTAATAATAAAATTCAGGGACAATCAGCTATGTGGGAACTAATGACCCAAGACTTTTAATTTTGTACAATATGTTTCTAAAACTTTATGAAACACAAAGTTATTAAAAAATTTTGTCAAATTTTTAAATGTGGTTTTTGGACTTAAAAGAACTGCGTTGTGTGAAATTTTCAAAAAGTCTATGGGAAAAATAAATGAAAAATTTACTTCCAGAATTGGAGCAGATGGTCACTGTTGGGCTCCATAGATGTATCTCAAAAAAATTATCAAAACATAGTCTACATCGATTAAAAATATACTGAGAGATATAGAAGTTTGGCAAAAAACAAAACAAAACAAATAAACCACACTTACCGAACGAATACCTGAGAAAAAAACAAAACAAAATTAACAAAGTCTAACATAATTTCTCCATATACATCCGCAATATTCTGACTCCTTCTCACCATAGCTGCCCCACATTGACCAGCGAGTGGTACAGCACCCACAGCGTCGCCATCACCACCATATTGGCCGCCCCGGTGAGGAGGACCAGGCCGGACAGACCCATGCCCACCAGCGCGAGGGCATCCAGGTTGGCGTCCATGTTGGTCCAGTCCATGAACCAAAGGAGGGAGGGGGTGTACGCCAGGGCGGCCGATCCGATCTTGCCCCCGACGTATCTCTTCACACTGTTCAGGTAGGTCTTACAGGGCAGCAGGCCACGCTCGCCGATCAGCTGTTTGTTCTGGTTCAGGGCGATGGCGAAGGCTACGACTGTGGAGGAGAAAGAAATGTAGCTTTGTGCAGATTATGTTAGGTGATAGGTGATGCTTTTTAAATATTTATATATTTATTAGCCTATTATAAAGCAATATCAGGATTAAATCTTTTGAAATTTAATACAAACATTTATTAACCCTACAATGCTTTTGCAGCCAAAATAAAATCAAATAAAACATGTGGCCTTACTCTGATTGGCTTGCATCTCCACAAACCTGACTATTATAAGCTCTATTTACACTTACGTCACAAACCAGGAAGACGTTTGGAAACATGCGACGACAACTTCCAGGGGGCTTTGTTCGCGGTAGTGAGTCTGACAAAATTTAGGAAAAATTAGAAAATGGCCCAGTTTTCGTCATCTCCATGTCACTGTAGCGTTCCGTTATGTTCGATTCATCAACCTTTACAACCACACCTCAGTTTTCGTCATTTCCCCACTGACACACAACTCCGAGCGCACTGAGTACATGAGATTAAAAGAGATGAGGCGCCAATTTCAAGATGATTCCAAACAGCACACACGTATGCAGTCTTCACTTTACCGCTGATACATTTAATTCAATGGGTTTTATCACAGTCGGTTGGTGAGCCCAGAGTTGTTTTTTTTAACTGCAGATTTTCAGATACAAACAAAAACGGCACTTTATGGAAGAATAGAGTTCACATGAAAATAAATGCATAAAAAACACAACGGTGAAAGCCCAGTGTCAGGAACTACACCGGAAGTTGTCATCACATGTTTCCAAACGTCTTCCCGGTTTGTGACGTAAACTTTTTCTTGTTTCCACACACGTTTGAATCTTCCACAGTATGGCAGATCTATCTCTATTGAGAATAGGGCTGGGTGTCACTAAGAATTTGCCGATACGATACATACCTCGATACCTAGGCCACGATACATATCTCGATACAGTGCACTTTAGATTCAATATGATATATTTAAAATTGATTCAATACAGTTCAATAAATATAATGATTAAATGATGGATGTGATAATAAAAGTCTTTGTTAAACCGCTTCTTGTGCAAAATGAATATGAAACACAAACATTTTAATCATCAAAACAGTGAAAATGTAAACATTTTTGCATAAATTAGTTTCTTTCCACTAAATTATTTAGTAAAATACACCAAAAAATACTCTGGGTGATATATCGATACAACAGTCTCCGATGTCTATATTGTATCATTACATTAAACAATTCGATATATTGATATTTTGATATTTTTGCATTGAGTATGTTCCGAAATATGGTTTTAACTTTCCAATTATATGGAATCATGCAGTTACAACTCTACTTTTACTTTAACACCTAAGGCAAATAAGTAATATTTTTAGAAATAACAAAATTGGAGCGCTACACTGGATCAAAAAACTTACGCATTCAGGTGCTCATCAAACCAGAGGGCTAGATTCTCGTAAAATAGAAAAATGATGGCAGAGGCACTCTGATCTGCAGTGAATTTATTAAAAGTCACACCAACACGTTTCGACTACTTGGTCTTCATCAGGGATAATTGAATGAACAGCAGGTGTGACCATTTATAAAGGGTTACGAACCCAAAACACGTGATAGTTAAAAACAAAACATTTTTCAAAATTTTCAAAACATTTGCATGTTGAATCCAAGTATATTGAGTAATATTTTTATAGAGCTTTTATACCCTTAGAGTCAGACCTGGGCATTGTGCAGCTCCTGGGTCCTCTGGTTGACTCTGACTGGCCCATTTAAGCTCATTTGGAATTACAAAATAAACATATTTTATCATTTTACCTCATGCATGGACTAAAGCTGCTTTGCTTTTATTTTAGATGTGTTTTAATGACATTTTTTTGTAAGGCATCCTCACTTTTTCATTGCTTAGTCATAACATAAACTCTTACCAGTCTGCGCAGCTCATCAAAATAATGATATTTACTGCATTTTAGAAAGAAATATTAATATTATGCAGAATTGAGTTAAGCATTTAGGCCTGACCCTTCACAATATTTTCTGTTTCTCATGTGGCCCCATGGAAAAAAGAATTGCCCACCTCTGCTCAAAATACTCAAGCTCTTTACATCAAAAAGCCACCCACCCATTCACATGAGTTTATGCAGACACTGGTGGCAAACTGGGTGTGGGGGAAGTTGCTTGCCCCAAGAAGGTCAGTAACCTCTCTACCAACTACGTCAAGAGCAGGATTCGAACCACAAACCTTCGGATCAGAGGACGAGCACTGTGCCAACTGAGCTGGTAACAGAACATACTGGAGATCATTTCACAACAACTACTAGTCCCATGTAGGTTCAACACACAATAATTCACATGAAAATGAACTTAACACTAAACTCTACACGTTGTTGATTTAAAAAGAATGAAATAAATACACTAACAAGTCTTTCTTAATTCTATAGTTTGGTGTAAAATGTTGATGTTGTGAAAAATCAGTCCAGTTTGCTTACAGTAAATAAAGGCTACAGCGCGCAGCAGCACTATCCGGGTGAGCCAGTACGTCCCGGGCCGCACGCACCGGACCTTTTTGTCCTCTGTCCCCGCTCCGCCGCTGTCCTCTGTAACATCTTTGAGCTCGCTGTCCTCGGTACGCGTCTCTGTCTCTGTCCCGCTCGGATCCACACGTCTCCTCCTCACGCCTGAGCTGTGCGCGCTGTCCCCGGCCGCCGCCATCTTCCGCGTCACGTGATCTGTCCTATGAACACGTGGACGGAGAAGGCGGCACGTCAGCGTCATAGAAGTATAATAACATGTATTATTATTATTATTATTATTATTATTATTATTATTATTATTATTATTATTATTATTATTTATTTATTTATTTATTTATTTATTTACTTATATACACAACTCTGTGTGTAGTACAGATATTTAGTTTTATAGTTTAAAAAATAAGGAAATGTGGAGTGTGGGTTTGTTGTTGTTGTTGTTGATGATGATGATGTTTGTTGCTTGCCTGAATAATAGTTTTAGTCTTTTATGATTCTAAAAAGCAGGGTCTACATAAAATTGATTACTAGCATAAAACTATGACTTAAAGTTTGACAAAATAATATAGAATAGGTCCTGTATTCAAGTGGTTCAAATATCTTTGCTTAGGCTGACCAGATTTTCTGGTCCGTCTAAGGATTTGGGGTGGTTGGTAATAATAAAACTGTAAACTGAGTACGCAAAAGGAAAACTGTTCTGCACTCAGCCCATTCATGTCTTATTCAGGACTAACATGTGAGTCAGTATAGACACATTGGGCTTTGGTCATTTTTAAGCAGCTTTTCTGTATTTTACCCAAACAAGTGACAATTTATGTCTCCCTTCACTGTTGGCAGGGATCAAATTGGTCAAAAATGGGGACATCTGGGACATTTCTTGTTTAAAACTGTGAAAAACCACTTTTTTTGGATAAATCTGCTGGGACAGGGGACACAGGGCTCAAAACTGGGTAAACCAGGACATCTGGTCACACCGTCTTTGCTGTCTGAGGGATACCACAAGATCTCACAAGATAAAATTGTTACAAGTTATTGCACACGTGGAAAATTATCTCTTTTTTAATTTTTATTGTTTACATTTGGTTTGAGGGGGGAAATGTTAACTTGGTGAGTGAGCGTATTGAGAAGCCATGCCTAATTCTAAAAAGCAGTTCCATATATTATTATTTTTTTTTACAAATTGTAAAGTTAAAATTGTTTTAATTGTCTATATTAAAAGTTTTTAATATAGACATTCTAATCTCATGTCTTGTCACACCCCTCATGCAACTAGGTCTATTTATAAAAAGACAGCACGGTATGTCCATGGGTACAGCACTCGCCCACTTGTTGATTCTAGCTGCTTGGAAAAATTTGTCTTTCCGAAACTAGCCTTGCGCAGGGAGAAGGGGAGGGGTCAAACCTGAGTGGCTAAAATAGTCAAACTGTCACTTTTTGAGCTGAGGAGATCGAGGTGAGGACCAAGATGCCAACGTCGACTCTTTTCGTGTGATTTACGTTACAAATTCAAACTTTTCACAAGAGGAATTTACTGTTTTGTATAAAGAGATGACCGAGGAAATGCCCACCAACTCAGCCGAGCCTCCGGGCAGTCCAGCGGGCAGTGACACCTCCTCGCCCCGGCCCGCGTCAGACCAAGACACCGTCACCTCTCCAGGCTCGCCGCGCGTCATTACGCACGGAGAGGAAAGCCGTTTCCCCGCCTGTATTCAAGACGCGGTGTCCCAGGTGCTGCGCGGGTACGACTGGTCCCTGGTGCCCGTGACAGGGCAGGGGGACCGGGGGCTGAGGGGCAAGCCGCACGTGAAGAGGCCGATGAACGCCTTCATGGTGTGGGCGCAGGCGGCGCGGAGGAAACTAGCGGACCAGTATCCACACCTGCACAACGCCGAGCTCAGCAAGACTCTGGGCAAACTCTGGAGGTAAGAGGACATGTCCCTCTACGTGAGAGGACAAGTCAACAACATCTCCATTTTATTGTCCAAGGGATGAGTTAGTTACATCATATATTACATATTACATCATCGATCTACACGCTGTCAGTTAGTTACAGACTCGTAACACTACTGGCCTCGTCAGAGATGGGCTACGTAGACAAAAGCTGTACTCACGTAAGAATTAAGCCACTTCTAAAGAGTATTCCAGTGAAAGTTGTATTAGTGCAAGACTTAGAGTAACAGGCTATTTGAAAAGACAAATTCTCAAGTAACTGTATAAAAGTAAAAGTATTTCTGGATGTAACATTAGTTCAATTTGAAATTTATGTAATTGGAAGCACTAAACCTTAAATAAGTCACAAAATGCAGTATTTTCAAAAAACAAATCATATACGAAGCAGTGATTAGGGGTGTGCAAAAACATTCACATATTGATATATCGTATCACTTAATGTGATGATACAGTATCGATATCATGGGCTGCTGTATTGATATATCACCCAGAGTATTTTTTGGTATTTTTTTACTCAGTTTGTTATTTTGTTACAGCTACAGTTTTGTTGCTTGTTTAGAAGAAGAAAACTCATTTATGCAACACATTTGACATTTTCACTGTTTTGAGGAGTAAGATGTGAGTGTTTCATATTGCACAAGAAGTGGCTTAACAAAGACTTTTAGTATCACAGCCATGATTCAGACATCATTTTTACTGAACCATATTGAATCGTGTTGAAATATATTGTATCGAATCAAAAGTGCACTGTATTGAGATATGTATCGTATCGTGGCCTGTGTATCGAGGTATGTATCATAACAGCAACTTGTTAATGATACCCACCCCTAGCCGTAATGCAAGAAGCATAAAGCTTTTGTCACTTATCACTTGCAGTATCTGTTATATCACACAAGTAGGAGTGAAAGTATGGTGTCTGAAAACTACCCTCAGAAGTACAATAAAAGGTTACTCTTAATAAACTAACTCAGTAAATACAAGTGAAATGCCAGTAGTAGACTGTGTTAGAAGGCATAATCTCATGCCCACAGGATGGATATAGTATTAAATGGAACTACTATTGACACACTAATAGACTTCTGGCTCCTGCACCACAGCGCAAGTGACAATACATAGTAAATAAGCAATTTTGGGGCTACTTAATTACCTGCACATTAACTTTCTCTGTACAGACTGTAGTGTTACCTTTATGTTGATGATACAAAAACTGTTAACTTCCCATAGGCTGTTATCAGACCCTGAGAAGCGTCCTTTCATTGAGGAGGCAGAGAGACTGAGGACACAGCACAAGAGGGACCACCCGGACTACAAGTACCAGCCCCGCCGACGGAAGGGGTCCAAGCCCGGAGTGGGGGACTACACCCAGGCAGACGCTCAGCAGCACAGCGCCTTCACCGCAGAGCCACTCTCCAGACTGGACCAGACTGTGGAGGTGCAGCTCTACTCTACTAATGGGACAGGTGAGGAGGCTGAGTAGATGTATGACACTTTTGATGAAAATACAGATTACTCAAATGTTATATGTTTATAGTTTGGTTTATTCCATCAATCTTACTGTTAACGGGGCACTGCGTAACCCAGGGGTGTCCAACCTTTTTCCTCCAGTGAGCTACTTTTACAAAACGAAAATGCCAGAGAGCTACTGGTTTTTATCGGTCACATTGAAACTGAGCATATTTAAGTGCCACAGCGAGCCTTAGATGAGGTACAGTTAGATGCCTATAAAACATAAACCATTCCAAACATATCTATTTATTAGTGCACAAAGTTAGGCATCAAAATGATACATGTACAATGGTAAAAGGCATTTCATTCATCAAATTTTACTTTTTAAGCACAATACGTGTAATTCAGAAATCCCTGGGTGACCTACTAGGAAGGGGATGGAGAGTAACCGGTAACTCCCGAGCTGCAGGTTGGAGACCCCTGGCATAACCTTTCTGGAGGAGAGTGTGCCACCTGCTTATCTTTATGGAAATGTTACTGCTTTTCTTAAAATATTCACAATATACCATTAAACTTCTCTATCTTCATGGAGACAAGCTGGTGGCACCACAAGTTACAGATCAGATCTGTGGAGAGGCCATCTTATAAACAATAAGAATGCATATTTCAGGTTTATTTGAGTACTGTATTATAAATAATAAAATAGCCCAAGTGAAGTAAATGTTAGACAGAAATGTTCAATACCATTCTGTGGAAGATTTCACAAAACAATAACATCTCCATGACAAATAGGGAGTGTACAATCTAACGGAAAAGTTATGCAGTGTACTTTTAAACATGTATAATCATTCATACGTATATATAATTCATACATTCTGTTTCAGATGTTTATTTGGTTTTGAGGAAAGTGATATGTAGACAGCCTATTTGGGCTCAAAGGACTAAAGTCTGGTTTATAGTCCAGCGTTAGGCCTCGCTCAGCTCAGAGCTCACGTCCTGACACACACTTGAACCACGGGCTTCTGTGGAGCTCATCAGAGTCCAGGTGCATTGTGGGAATGCATACGATTAATTTGTATACATTCTTATTTTAATTTCTTAATTTTTTTTACTGTAACAATCATATTAGGTTCATATGCAGATGTTCATGTGACAAACTATAGTTCCTCTGAGTTGTTTTTAATCACTTGTCCATTTAGTCTTTGTGGATCAACCAATCAGAGCCCTTGTGTTCAGAGGTAATTTACCGTGTAGTCATTTTTCAGTCAAGGTGCACGTACACAGCACAGCAAACACTGCGAGCTCTGTGATTAGGAATCTGCGCGAGGGAGCTGTGCAGTACATCCACGTAGATTTGACACTGGACCATAAACTGGCCTTAACAAGACCTGTTTAGTTGTAATATTTACTCAGGAACTGTATCCTGCAGGAGGAATGAAAATGAATCTCCAGAAAGTCACTACTGTACAACTCACATATTAATTCACAGAAACATTTAAAATATGACCCAAATTTCATAAACTTTTAGAATCTTAAAATATATGACAAAAATATATGTAAACTAACTATATATTTTCTGTTAATCCCAGATCAACCCCATGGACCACCGACCCCGCCCACCACCCCTAACACCGACCTCCACATGGGTGCTAAACATGACACCCAGTCCCACCCTGCCCCTCCTGCTCCTGCCCCTCCCCCCGCCCACAGCACCCGCCACAACATCGACTTCAGTCACGTGGACATCGCAGAACTGGGCGCCATGGAAACCTTCGACGTGCACGAATTCGACCAGTACTTACCCCCGACCGACCCGGGACACGCCCACATCAGCGGACCAATCACGCCCGATCAAAAAGCTATCTCCAACGACGACGCCAGCCCCAAACCGATCAAAACGGAGCAGCTGAGTCCAGGCCACGCCCCCCACTGCTCGTCCCCGCCCCCTCCAGAGTACACCTGCCTGACGTCCGGCCAATCTGAGTATGCTGACCTGCAGAGCCCCGCCCTCTACAGCAGTTTCTCCGCCTACTCGGCAGGTTTGTATCAGTACCCGTACTTCCACTCGCCACACAGAGCCTTTGGACTGGCCTTAGCTCCGCCCCCTCACAGTCCCACCTCGGCCTGGGACACGCCCATTTTTACCACTCTCACCAGGCCATAGAGCGAAAGTGGTGTGACTGAAATTTAATGACATGGCAAGTAATTATTTGCCACATTTTTATTGTTTTACTTTAGCTGAAAAAGAGATATGTGTTTGGAAACTGTTATAAAATTAATGGCTACTTGGTAAATTATGAAACAATGAGACGTATTATGTAAAATAGACTTTTATCAGTTAACTTAAGTTGTATTTCAAATGATTCATGTGTGTTTGAGTAATCCTGTCTTGTCCTACATGTGCTGAGTGCTTGGAAAATGTTAGTTTTTATCTACCCCCTATCTCCACTCACTTCTCCTCAAATACTTGTAACCATTAAAAATAAATGCAGGTCATACATGGGCTCAATACTACTAAAAAAATAGCATAATACAGAAATTTAAATTGAGATTTTTTGTTCTTTATATTGAGTTATCACAATACAATATAATGTCATCACAATACAGACTTTTAAGTACTATTTAAAGCCATACTATGTAACTTTTTTTAAGGCTAAGTTTATATGATGATGGTCTGAACAGAAGAAAGTGAGGCAAAACTGCATTTAAGACGACGGTGATGCAAAAGTGTGTGGAATGTGATTGTGTATGCATGTCAGGCGGCTCGGTGGTGATGTATGTGACACGGTGGCTGAGTGGCTAGCCTCACAGCAAGAAGGTTCTGGGTTCGATCCCCGGGTCGCCCGGACCTTTCTGTGTGGAGTTTGCATGTTTCTCCTTGTGTCTGGATGGGTTTCCTCCGGGTGCTCTGGTTTCCCCATCGACCTGCATAGGTCTCCATAAAGAGTTGATAGTCATGGTCAGTTAAATACAATCAATTCAATCCTTAGGCAAGACACTTCGCCCAATTTGCCTAGTATGAAAGTGGTGCTGTGATGGTGGTGGTCGTAGGGACTGATGGCGCCGCACGGCATGAAAGCTGTGCTTCTGTCAGTGTGCCCCAGGGCAGCTGTGGCTACAGTAGCAGCTTACCATCACCAGGGTATAGAGTGAATGAATAATGCTGAATGAAGTGTAAAGCATCTTTGGCCACAGAAAATGTCTGTGAAAGTGCTATATAAATAAAGACTTACTTACATAAACGTGTACGCGACGTGAGCAGATCTGACCAGAGTTTTGCTTCAGTGTAGACGGAAACGCTACGGCAGAGCGTATTCAGCTTTTCCACTCTGGAGGGTGGTCTCAGATTTTTGTGTTTTTAAGCTCCAAAAACACCGTCACCGTCTAAACGAAAGGCACTTCCGATAAAATATTTTATCGTTTTTACCCGCAAGCGTTTTAATATTAAAGCACATTGTTTCATTTTGGTAGCATCCTCACTCTGGACCACAGAGCTATAATAAAATCTGAAGGTGAACCCAAGATGGTGTCGTATTCTTTTCAGTGGCCTGTGCTCATTGGTGCATGGGCTCAAAAATAATTTTCTCTTCCATATTTACTTCCTCAATACAGGCAAGTGCCTCCCACCCATGTGACGTAGGCAATGTGCACGTGCAAGTTTATGTTGTGAAAGTAGAAAAGAATACCTATAAAATCCAACCATTGTGAAAGTTGTCGCTGTTAGAACTGTTGCACTGTCAGAACACGAGCAGTTTGAATTCCCCTAGAATGCATTGTGCTCTATGAGGGAATTTTTTCTGGGCCCAACCTCCTGGGAACTGCAGTACCTGGAGCAGAGTTATCCAGTTTTTATTATAGATCCATGCTCTGAATGAACTTGTGTCTCCACAAACCTGACTCCTACTTGGTCCGGAGGTGGCAACTTTGGAAATGTTGTTCCTTTGGCGATAATATTTCACAGTATGGAATTAAATTTATCTGTGTCCATGTTGAATGTTCAGAAGCATGTTTTTAACTTTCTATTTCCATGGACATGCCACCTCCAGAAAGTTACGTACTATTGATTTAACACAAAAATAGTCCAGTTTGTTCCCTCAAAGCGTCTGCTCCAAACCACATGCTCCCAGACGGAGGATTGCCTGTAGACTTCTCCATCAAAATGACTCAATCTGATCATTTACCATTTAAAATCCATTAATTACACTGCCTTATTTGGAATTCACATATATTTCTTTCACTGTGGAAATGAGTTGGCTGGGAGCAGTGATCGTGTAAAGGGCACTGTGGAAAAAGTCTATTAAACAATATTAATCCCATATGGAAACATGGTGCACTAGATTAATAAAATGTTAATAACAGTGGTATGCAGTAGCCCGTGTTAATGACAGGGCGGGGCAGGTCCACACTAAAAGTTTCAGTGTTTTTCCTTTTATTGAAACTAAAAGTAGGTATCATAGTCTTCTCATGAGTGTTAACATTTACTCAATAATTTGTAAAGTATTTATTTAAAGCTGTATTGTTAATGGAGGAACTATTGTCTCTATATCAGGGTTGGGCAATTCGTTTTTCCATGGAGCCACATGAGAAACAGAAAATATTGTGGAGGGTCAAATGCTTTACTCAATTCTTCATAACATTTATTGTATTTCTTTATAAAAAGCAGTAAATGTCATTATTTTGATGAGCTGGTCAGACTGTTAACAGTTTATGTTATGATTAAGCAATAAAAAAGTGAGGTTACCTTACAAAAAATGTCATTTAAAAAACACCTTTAAAATAAAAGCTATGCAGCTCCTGCAGGAGAAATTAAAATGATAAAATATGTTTATTTTGTAATTCCAAATTATCTTAAACGAGCCTGTCAGAGTCAACCATGTGTATGTGGCCCGGGAGATGGACAATGCCCAGATCTGGTCTATATGGATGAATTATCATCTGCACAACTCTGCATATGGACCTACATCCACAGAGCTTTAGCATGACACAAAATGTAAATATACAGTATATAGTAAGAATATAAAATTATGAACAATATTTGTCCGACTTTGGCCTGGTTTTGATGATGGTCTTTGAAGTCTTTGATTTTACTGCGTAACGATAGTACCTTATCTATTGATACATGAAGTACATGGTGCTTTATCTATTGAATCCCAATGATTATTACTTGATGCAATCAATGGTATGACCCAAGTAGGTCAAGACCCAACTAGGGAACCACAGTTCAGTGTTTTTATATAATATAATATTATTATTTCTTATTCTTTACATGTTTCCTTGTATTGTGTGTATATTTGTACATTTGTCATTTGATGATATGTTTAAGTAAAAGCAGGACTGTCCAAAAGAAGGCTCTGTACACATTATGTAAATGTTATAGGGAAATCTGCCATCTGTATTTGACCCACTCCTTAATGCTGAGCCAGATTCTAGTTCAGTCCTTGTTTAGTTCTAGTTTAGACCTCAGTTCAGTCTTTCTTAACTTTTAGTTTGGTCCTGTCCACACATATTAATGGCAGAGGTTAGGGATGTTATTAGGTTCTTTTTTCAGGCCAAGAGTTTGTTTTCATACCTGACAGTTTCAACTGCTCACTGCGGTCCCACCTTCACCAGTAGGAAGACAGCGCCAAAGCATGTTTAAATCAGCTGACCGGACACATCACAGTAATATTACATGACAACTCTGAGGAAGAGCGCTCCTGCTGGAGCAGTCCAAACTGTCAGGTATGAAAACAAACTCTTGGTCTGAAAAAATAACCTAATAACATAAATTATCAGAAGACCAAATGAATCTCATAGGCATAGGTTAGGGATGCACCGATCCTGCTATTTCAGTTCCGATACTGATTTCGATACTATAGCTTTAAGTATCTGGTGATACCAACAGATACCAAACTGAAAACTGCATTTATTTTCTTTAAAAAAAAAATAAAAGCAAAACAGATCCAAATATGTTGTGTAACTTGTTATGTATCTCTCAGGTAAATATAGAACAACTTTGTGTAAATACGAGTTCAAACATTAATGTGATTTCTGGGCCAATTATGAGTCTTACATTACATTACATCAATTTATGTCAAACTTAGATATCGCCTGAACTGATATTTGAAATTTGATACCCAATCCAGCAAATTTTACAGTATCTACATTGATTTCTGATACTAGAATTGGATCGGTGCATCCTTTGTGTAGCTCAGTTGAAATCCTAATTTGGGGTTTGCTTAAAGAACACAAATTATGCTTTTACCATGGTATAATATTGCCCCATACCTAGAATTGTATTTGGTTTCATGCGCGCTTGTTTACATTTTGCCAGGATTGTGAAGTCATAGGTAAAAATCAGGACTTTTATGCGTTATTAGAATGGCATTAACAGGAGATAAGGACTTCATTGGTTTACTTTACCACTCTTCTGCTCACCTAAATGCCCCATTTGAAAACTGAGATGTAGTTTATGAAGTGTGTTTTCCAAATACAGACATTATTTTAGTCAGAAAATGTGAAATACTGTTCCCAAAAACATTTTAAAAAGGAACTAAAGCCACGAAAATGCATAATATTTGTAGAAAGTGGTAATGGAGTTAGTTCTGGTTTCTGCCTGGTTTAGTCCTCTTTACTCACACCTTATTGAATATCAGGACTTATGTAACCTCTGTGGCGCTATTTGTTAACATCCAGTAATCCACGAATCACCTGCTCTATTTCTAACTGCAGTCTTTCCAGTGGAGCGTCCAGCGGGCAGCACCTCCCTGACCACTGGACAAACACCCCAACCCCCCGCCCCGCCCACCGCCACCCATTTAATACTTCCTCCGCACCTCAGTGGCCCTCTGTCCTCCGCCGGTTGCCATGACGACCGGCCACTCACCACAACGTCATTGCCAGACAGAAGCTGCATTGATTTACTCATAATCCACCAGGGTCTGACATGGAACATAGTAAACAGACAAAGTTAGTCATGACACCTTTTAAATGTTAGTAAGTTGTCTTTTTGGTTAACACTCATGAAAAAAATAGTTTATTATTCAGGCTTAGTAACTACTACTACTACTACTACTACTACTACTACTACTACTACCACTACCTTCAAGTCCAAGTCAAGTCCCAAGTCTTAGTCCATTTTATCAAGTCAAGTCTTAAGTCCTAAAAATAGTGACTCAAGTGACTCAAGTTTTATTAAGAATTATTCAGGCTTAGTAACTACTACTACTACTACTACTACTACTATTACTATTATTATTACTACTACTACTACCACTACTGCTACTAAGAGCCTATACTCAATTGTTTCCATGTAGTTGAGAAATACTGTACTGTAATACTGCTCTTGAGGTCAAAATAAGTCCACTGTGTACTGCCTGCAATTAATTACAGAGTGTTTTATTGTCCGAGAATCAGGAAGTATGCTGTTAACATGCTAGTAGTTGTTAGCATTACCGCCCTGCAGAGGTGGGAGCAAGTCATTGTTTTGCAAGTCTCAAGTAAGTCTCAAGTCTTTGACCTCGAGACCTACAAGTCAAGTCCCAAGTGACAGACAAGCAAGTCCAATTCGAGTCTCTTGTCACTGGACCATAAGCCCAAGTCAAGTCCAAGTTGTCTACTTCAAGTCATTTCAAGTCTTTAAACCAAAGTACCAAATACAGTTTAGATCTTAGTGTGAATCATTACGATCAGAATATTCAGAATTCAGATTTAAAAGTGCTTCTCAAGTCCTCTCAAGTCACAGGCCTCAAATCCAAGTCGAGTCCCAAGTCTTAGTACATTTTATCAAGTCAAGGCTCAAGTCCTAAAAATAGTGACTCAAGTTTATAAAGAATAATTCAGGCTTACTAACTACTACTACTACTACTAGTAGTACTACTACTCAAGTTTCAAGTCACAGACAAGCAAGTCCAAGTTGAGTCTCGAGTCACTGACCCATAAGTCCAAGTTAAGTCTAAGTCGTCTGCTTTGAGCTTCAAGTAATTTCAGGTCTTTAAACCAAAGTACCAAATACAGTTTAGATTTTTGCAATTTATATGATTTTTAAAATAAATTGTATTTTAAAAAAAAAATCACAGTATAATTGTATATGAGTATTTATAGACTATATAAGAGTTGTAGAAATTTATTTTGTTAATTTTTCCTTTTTAAATGTCTTGACAAGATCTTAGTGTGAATCACTACTGTCAGAATATTCAGAATTCAGAATTAAAAGTGCTTCTCGAGTCTTCTCAACTCACAGGCCTCAAGTCAGAGTCAAGTCCCAAGTCATTGATCTTCAAGTCCAAGTCGAGTCCCAAGTCTTAGTCCATTTTATCAAGTCAAGTCTCAAGTCCTTAAACTAGTGACTCAAGTCTGACTCGAGTCCAAGTCACAACTTGCAAGTCTCCACCTCTGCCGCTCTGGTTTCTGAAAGTTATGAAAAGTGCTTATAAACTCATCGCTGTGAATAATTATAATGTTCTCAAAGCATAAGGTAAGTGAGGAATAACTCTGGACACTGAACTATTTTTTTTTTATCAGTTTTTAAGAAGGAAAAAAAGTGTACAATGCCTTTATTACCATTACTCCTAACCCTTGAATGATGATGCTATTAAGCTTGAATAATAAAAATAAAAAAATCTGTTCATTATGAGTTAAGCCTTTCTAGCATCATTAAGATTAATTAAAGCAGTCGTGACCCTCAGGTTGGTCGCAAGGTTTTTTTTTTTAGATTGTATTGTCATGATCTGCATGTAGGTGTGCAATATACAGTTCTGACACATGAGGGAGCTAGAGAGTAAGTGAATCCTATCTAGCTGCCTTGAACGAGGGTCCTGCAGCTAGAGTTGTTAAATGCTGCTTGGTTGTCCAAAAAACAAAGGGTGATAAATCAGTAAAGGCCAGTGCATTTCAGGATTCTTATGGATCCTTTTATTGCTGGTTCAGTGACTGTTTTTCATTGTTTAAAACTTGAGTAATACTAAATGTTCAGAGACACGATCACTCAGTCAACAATAAAATATTCTCATTAATGTTCAGTAATGGTCAAATCCACCTTTATTTTGTGATTTATGAATAATGTCTATAGTGACTTTTAAAATATGGGTCCCCAGAAAAAAAGTTTGGGAAACACTGAATGAGAGTATAGTATAGTATAGTATAGTATAGTATAGTATAGTATAGTATAGTATAGTATGGTATGGTATAGTATAGTATGGTATGGTATGGTATGGTTATTAAAAGGTATTCTCTGCTTTTTGAACAAAACTTTAAAATATAACTTATTAATGAAAAAAAAACCAACATTACTGTATTATTCATATGTATATAAAACATAATGATTCTAAATTCATTGTTATGCAAATTATACAAGGTTTCAAAAAATTTTAAGTGATTGAAAAGATAAGAGTTTAGATTTATGTGGTAGAACAGTGCCCTCTGCTGGTGAATAAGGAGAATGACAATATCTTACTATTTGGCCCAAAATTTACACAGTTATCTAGGGATGTTTCAGTGGCTTTTACCACCTTTTATTTAAACTAAAGTAAACAAACAAACAAAAATGAATAAATAAAATAAATAAGGTAAACAAAAATACCTGTATAGAAATATTTATGATGAAAACTTAATGGTGCTTTATGTGGTCACGTTTTTCCACCTTCAAGGCACTCAAAGCACTTTCCAACAACGAACCACTCACCCATTCACAGACACACTCACACACCAGTGCACGCAGACACAATGGGCAAGGTGGCTTAAGTGTCTTGCCCAAGGACACAACAACAGCATTCTTTTGTGGGAGCTGGAATCATAGCAGCCAACCAACTGAAATGCTGTCGCCAGTGTAACTTGACTGGTTGATTTGGCCAGAATATTCCACAGTACGGCATTAATCTCTTCACTCTTCATGGATACACACAGGTGACGCCACCAAGTCGAGACACAGGTCAGATCTGTGGAGAGGAGACACAGCTCATATATGATTTTTCAAGGTATTTTCAGCAAAGAAACCAAAAAAACCCCCCAAAAAACAGATGCACGCATGATAGATCAGCGTAATGCCATACTGTGCAACATTCAATGCAAGAAAATAAAATCTCCATGGAGACAAGCAAGTAGCACTCACTGTACCTTTAAAATTTTGTCAGTGTTTTTTTCACATAGCAAGTTCACATCATAAAAACAAAACAAAAAGCTGCAAACATTTTACTTGGTCATTGTCCCACTTTATTTAATGGTACATGTAAAAAAAAAAAAAACAATTGTTAATTTCATTTTTTCAGTTCACAAGAATAAATTCAAATTCTAGCCTAAAATTCTTAGATTCCCGTTAAATACGATTGTCTTATTTTGTTTTATTTCATTATGAACTTCTTAACATTGTTACGAATTCCCCAAATCCCTAATCTCATTTTTATTCACGCTATTTTGTCACATGATTTGAATGGATTTTTGAAATATATATCCTTAAACTAAACAAGGAATTGAAAAAAAAAAGTGTTGTAAAATGGGCAGTCCTGTCACATGACATACTTTTAAGCAGCAAAAACGGTTTACAGTAACAAATAAATAGAAGACTTGCTGAACCCTGTTTGGCTACGTTAACAGCAGTGGTGATCTCTGAGTTTTTAAAGGAGACGTATTACGCATCATCCAGGACTTTCTGTTCTTTTTCCACTAAAAGCGATTGGATAAAAGAGGTGGTGTTTGCTTCATAGAGATTTCTCGCCTTAGTGTGACGCCCTCTGCTGGTTAAAGTAAAGAGTGTACTGATTTCAAACGCTTTTTTATTCTCATCGACAATCTATGATCTGACTTATCCAGAGAAATAAGCAGCCACGCCTACTTTCTTTACATAACTATCTCAAAACTCCTAAGCCTGTAGTTTAGGTAAGGATTAAACAACAAGGATGAGTCTAGAGCAGGGGTGCCCACACTTTTTCAGCATGTGAGCTACTTATAAAATGAGTCAAAGTCAAAATGATCGACCAACTACAAAGGCAAGCAAACTGCATTGCATTGAAACACTCTGCACCCCTTTTCTTGGACCTTCACCCACAGTTTGAGAACCCCTTCTTTAAGGCTATGTCAACACGACAATGGGCTGAAAAAAATTTGCATCCACACACGTGTCGGATCAATAAATATTCATACCCAGACGACAACGGAGCACGGGTTTTGATGAGGCTCATTCTGACCAATCAGATCGCTTCATTACACCATTTCCTGTATGTTACTAAGGCTGCATTCAGACTGCAGCCTGAAGTGACCCAAATCCAATTTTTTGCCTTCTATGCTCCTGTATCTGATCTTTTAATGACAGTCTGAACGACACAGATCCGATTTTTTCAAATGCGACCCAGGCCACTTGGATATGTGCTCCTAAAACTGATACATATCTGATCTTTTGACATGCGACTTCAGTGTGAACAGCCAAAGAGCATTCGACCTACACGTTATCAACAAGACACAAACGTCACTGTTCTGCGCTGAAGTTGGCGAAAATTGTTAATGAACTCCGTGTCACTGAAGTGAAGCACATCACCACTCACCACTCTTGGCTACGTCTCCACATCCACACGTTCCTTTCTACGGACGTCGCTGCCGCTGCCCCACAAAACACCACGGCCAAAAACCTCGTCCTTCTCCTTCTCAATCTCCTCCTTAAAACAAGTAAGTTGTTCATGTTCTGGCTCTTGTACGAGAGGAACTTTAAAATCTCCAGGTGCTCAATGCTGCCTCCATGTTTGGACAACTTCCGTAAACACAGAGCACGCTCGCTGCGGTTGACGTCATCGTGTCTCCAGTGCACATGCGGGACACTTTTGGGCCATTTAACGTTCACACAGGGGATCACATACAAGTCACATTTAATTGGAAATGTGAACGACCTCGCAAAAACATCGGATTTCACACAAAAAAAAAATCGGAATTGAGCGTTAAGCCCTGCTGTCTGAACGTAGCCTAAGTTAAATCGGATCACTTTGGATCAATTTCTTCTGCCTTGGCGTTTTGGATCTTTGCTGCAAATATTTTTCACTGCACATTTTACACTCTGAACACAGAACTCTGCACATTTTACACTCTGAACTCTGAATTTGAGGGCTTGAAAATATCTGTGCTGAATATTTAAAAGTTGACTTTTTTTATTTTGAATTTTAACCACTTTCAAATTTCAGAGCTAAAAAATTAAAAGTGAGAAATTCAACGGTATTTAAAACTCAAAATCTGACAAATTATCTTCCATAACAGAACTGAATTTTTCTTTTACCGTAGTGTAGTGGAATCTGGCTTCCCCTGCGTAGTCCAGTGTTAAAGGGATAGTTCGGGATTTTTGACATGAATCTGTATGGCATCCCCGTGAGCAATGTCGTGCATCCACACTGACTTACCCCCGACAGTGTCCAGTGAGCCGAGATACTGGCCGCAGTGATACGAACAGAAAGAAAATAGTGCCAAGCGATTATGAGGTCTGACTTTTTTGGGGTTGATGGTTTTGTGATGCAAATGTATCACTCTTTTGAACACATGTTGTTTTGAGAAGAAAAACGCTTTATTATACAGTCCCCAGCCAACTTGCCGGACTACTTTCGTCAGCACCGAAAACGGCCAGTATCTTGGCTCACTGGACGCTGTCGGGGGTAAGTCAGTGTGGATGCACGACACTGCTCACGGGGATGACACACAGATTTATGTCAAAAATCCCAAACTATCCCTTTAACATTTCTCTGTCCTGGTTCTTCAGTTTCCTTGGTCATCTCATCTCACAGAAGCTGTTTCCTGCACTCTTCACATTTTATCTCGACCAACTGGTCTCCACGCTGCCCTTCTTAGCTCCTATTTAAACCTCTTTTTTGCGGAGTCAGGATTGAAATTAAATAAACCTCTCCTGCCTCAGACATCCAGAGTCTCCCGCCTCTCTGTCCAACTCTAGGACTTATTAGGACAACACTTATTTTCCCTAACATGTAGTACTTTTGGTAAATATTAATCATAGTTTTACACCACAGTTTGAAAAGACAGCTTATGGGAAAGAATTGAGAAGAAAATTGCAAAAATACAAGAAGTAGCATTCAGTTCTAAAACAAAATCCCTCATTGAAAATTCTATTTTTTTCCTGACAGTTTGAACTTAAACTAAACAAAACAAAGGCGTTGTCATTTCTATGTATTAGTCTAATCATAATTATAACATAATTTAGACTCTTTAGATCTTAATAAATTATCATTATGTTAAGTTTTTAAGAGAAATGTCTAGTAGTCTAACCTGTCACTTTAATTCAGTTTCCTCTTTATAAAATCAGAGCACCATGATAAAAGAATATTAAATAGTATTCAAAGCTTAATAAAGCCTGTTTTGCATAATAGATCTCCTTTAAGTTCACATTTATGCATATTTGACAATTTAACAGCACTTTGTAGATACGTTTTGAGTTGTGCCAAAGGTTTCCGCCCCACAGCGTTCATAAAGTAAACACCGCACACGCACATGAACTGTCCCCAAACTGTACATTCAATAAATAATAATAAATCGCCTTTAAATCGCTGCTCAGGAACCAGTGATGTGACTCTACATTACATAATTACATAGATTACAGGAAGAACAAGACAAAATCCAGGGAAAAAAGTTCACTTGGAGAGAGAGATTTGGTACGGTGAGCACGATATTGGAAGTTATGACATCTTTTTCAGCGCGTCGTCTGGAGGGAAGCCGGGGCGTCCAGCTGTCTAGTGTAGTTTTCACATATAAGTCTGTTTGGAATCTCCTCGCAAAAGTGTGTCGTTTTCAGAATGTCCGTTCACAGTCACTTCCAGGAGGTAAGTCCAGGTGAGTTCAACACATCTTCCACTGTCAGGGTTTGTGTTTGAAATGGGCTTCCACTGTACAAACAAAATACAACAAAGCAGGTTAATCTGTGTAGCATTTGTACATTTGTTTTTCAATATAAAACCAAAAATTAAAAAAACAAAAAAAAGAGCTTAATTTAAAGTTAACAATTAGTTTTTTTCAGTTTTCGATTTTGTGTTTAAATGAATAATGGAAAAAACAGATAACTGCCGTTTCCAGTTTCCGTGACTTCCGAGACTGCGATGCTGGACTTTTGCGCTGCATACGGACTGAACCAGGACTAAAGCTGGTCTGGTCCTGGTCTGGTCCCGGTCTGGTCCCGGTCTCAATCACGGTCTGGTCCCAGTCTCAGTCCCGGTCTGGTCCCGGTCTGGTCCCAGTCTGGTCCCTGGTTCAGTCCAGGTTCAGTCTGGCATCGCAGTTTAAGTCACTGAAATGAGAAATGGCCGTTTTTCCATTCTTCATTTAAACACCAAATCGAAAACTGAAAAAATAAATCATTATCTGTTTTTAAATTTTGGTTTTGGCAACAAATAATGAAGAAAATAGTTTTTTTTGTTTTCTTATTTTTGGTTTTATTTTGAAAAACGAGTGAACAAATGCTACATGGATTCAGGTTTATTTACACAGCACAATCTGGACACAAGTAATTGTAAGTGTAATTGTAAGTGTAAGTTAAAAGTGTTTTTTTTTTTTTTCTTCGAGTTATGCAGAAAACAGAGCCCCTGTCTGTATGTCAAAATCATAATTCTAATACAATCTGTGTATTATCCAACACAGGCTTACGTATGATTCAGTTTTGGACTTAAGACAGTTCAGCCCTTAGACCTGGGCATTGTCTAGCTCCGGGGCCACATACAGCCCATTGGTTGACTCTGATTGGCCCCTTTAAGCTGTTTTGGAATTACAAAATGGACATATTTTATCATTTTACCTCTTACATGGATTAAAGCTGCATTGCTTTTATTTTAGAGATTTTTTTTTTTTTTATGACATTTTTTCTACCTCACTTTTTCATTGCTTAGTCAGAACATAAACTCTTACCAGTCTGACCAGCTCATCAAAACAATGATATTTGCTGCTTTTTATAAAGAAATACAATTAATATTATCCAGAATTGAGTTGAGCGTTTTCGCCTCCACAGTATTTTCAGTTTCTCATGTGGCCTGACTGAAAAAATAACTGGCCACCCTCTGATATAGACTCTATAAAGAAGTGGACTAAGCAAGTGGTTACAAGTTACAAGGGTAAATCTGGAGCCAGGATCTATATTATGAATAGGATTTGTTTGACAGAAAAAACAGGATCATGTAGAGCAGGTTAATGCGAACATTTTAAGACTAAAATAACGAGACTCAAAGCACCAGTTACAGAGAGCGGGGCCACGATATTCCAATGTAAGTTGTCTATTAATTTAATGCAGATGACTTGGTTGTTTTTAGTCAAAGTTTTTATTGTTTAAATCATATTGTACACCGTTGTACACAGCCCACTTCTGGATAAAATACAAAAAAGCTAGTTTGCAAGGTGCCTACAATGACTCTTTACAGGCCACGATGGATGAGTGCGATGGAGATATATGTTACTGCACGAGTGAACACTTTGCAAGCTGTACTAAGAATTTCAATGTACAGTTTAATTTGCAAACTGAACAAATCAGACAATGAAATAATAATGTCACTCACAAATATTAGATTCCGTGCAATAAGATATCATATACATAGACATAATCTGTGGAGACAATGGCTGTGGTTGTTTTTTAATAACAATGTTTTGTATTGTCACTGCGCTTGTCGGTTTAAAAAATGGGCCATGAGTCCAGTATAAAGACGAACTGAACTAAACTATTCAGATATAGAACTGTTCGGCCCTGTTTTGGTGCATACAACATTGTTTTGTTGGTTGCGGATGAATAGAATTGAATAAGAGTTTAAAAAAGACACACTGCTATATCATTGTAATCTATGACCTGTGAATCATTATGTTATTTGCACATTTTAATATATTCAAGGAAAATTACTTAATAAAAGAAACACACGTCACTGTAAACGTCATCAAAATTACTATGCAAAGCTCCTGAATCCTGCCTGCATCCCAGATACAGAAGAAAATAAATCTCGAAAACTCCAAATACAACCCTGGAGTAAATAAATGGTGAGCGGAGAGAACTATAAAAGCTCTAAAAAGTCTATCTTGCATAATAAGGCTGCTTTAAATGAGATTATAAACAATAGTTGGTGGCAATTACAAAGGTGTGCTTTGTAGTGATAGTAATTTGATCTCCAAAATAATCCACCACCTCATGGAATCAGCAGGTGGAAAGGATCATTTTGAAGTATAAAACAAAATAAAACTATAGGTATGTTTTATGTGCAAACAACATTATAACATAGATCAGAAAATAGTGTAATATGGGCCCTTAAAATAATTGTAAATGTCAACCAGAATTATTAGTATGTTCAAATTAAATTAGTATGTTTGAAAGAAATAAATAAACAACATTTGTAGTGTATCAAACTCAACTCTCTTCAGTTTGGTAACACACTGTACAACACTTAAAAACACTCTTCCCACCTGCGTACTCCTGTGGCCTCATTGGTCGGTTGATGACCCTCTGGAAGGCCGCTATCCAATCGCGCTGCTCGGCCTCGGTCTCGCAGGCGAACAGGAACTTGCGCTCGGGCGTTACTATGGTGATGCCGTGGTTCCAGTGGTAGCCCTGGGTGGAGGGGGGCAGGCCGGGGAGAACCGTGTAGCTGTTCTCTTTACTCCCAATGAACACCTCTCCTCTGGCGTAGGCGTCCTGGGCACAGAGCACGGGCAGTGAGTAAAAAATGTAAAAAAGTAAGTACTCAGGTTGAAATACAAAGTAGTAGGTCTAATCTGGATAGTTAAAACAAGTGAGAGTATTTGTAGAGGTGGGTTTTAGACAGTTACGTTTATTCAAGTACATTTTCTAACACAATCATAAACCATACTTTTACTCTTGCTTGAATAATACTTATAGTTGTCAGTGTAATATAGTTTTAGGGTGTTTTCACATCGACAGCAGTTGGTGTACATCAAACTTCCATTCGACCCAGAAGCTCTTAGTTCGATTAGTTTTCGTTAGTGTGAAAGCATCAATTGCACTCGGATCTGCACTAAATCAAGCGGCCCGAGACTTCAAAAAAGAGGTGGTCTCGGTCCGCTTAAATCCACACCAAATGCCAAAGACTGGTGCGGTCCCCCTGGTGTGAACGCAAACTCACGTCCAAACCAAGGAACTAATCAAAATGCATCATGGGAGGGGATACTAATTACTACTAATGGTGGTGGGCCCCCACTTAATGGGTGTGACAAGGGCCAGGGTTGGGTCCAGACGCTTGCCCATCGACTGGCGGTCCGTAGGTGTGCGAGTCCGAGCTCCCCAGGACAGGGAGGCTCTTAGGTGGGGTTCGAGAAACTGTGTCTGCCGGAAGCCGGTCTCTGCTTGGGGGTATAGGGACTGGCTCACAATGTTTCCAAGAGGTCTAGTGTGCGGGAGAGCATCAGTGTACCCAAGTCAAACCCGCTGTGTGCCTTGGATATATCGGACCAGTTTTGTTTGATTTGCAGGTGTGAAAGCGGACCACGCTGGAGTCTATATGCTACATAATAACTATTTTATTGCCTGACTTGGACCAAAAAATCAAACTAGTGGTGTGAAAGTGCCCTTACTTGAGTAAAAGTTTTGGTTACTCTTCCCACAGTGAGTAAGCATACAAGTGCTTTATGTTGACAATATGACATGATTTGAACAACTCCTATCACATAAACTTGACGATAAAGCAGAAGTTACTATCGCACGTACAAGTTTCCCAAATACTTTTTACTCTTACTTTCGTGGATGACTACTTTGAAGTAACAGCTCTCTTGGCTTCTCTACCCATCTTTGCAAACACCCGTGTACCATGTGTAGTTGTGAGTTTGAGTAATAGTCAGTGTAAAGACGTAGATTACCAGAGGATCTTTGAAATACATGAGCCTCCTGTCGTCCATTGTAAACCATCTCTTCTTGAAGCCCTCCGTGTGCTGAAAAACAAGTGATCGTAGAGTTATTTGGAGGGACAAACCACGATTTCACTTCAAACTTTTAATGACTTCGTAACAGACCTGAAGTTGTCTTTTGTTTCATTTGCACTCATTAAACACACAAACCCTGCAGATTTAGTTAAATTGACGAGACACCCCACAACATGAGATCAGGTCCACGAGAACGAGACAAGATTTTAACATAATTTATAATAAATAATCTCTTCCATCTCACAATTTTGACTTATTGAATACTTTAGTGGTCACTGTAGTACTGCTTTTTGGAACTACAGCTTCCCAAATTGCAAAACTCAACAGCTTTTAACTCTTTTTTTGTTTAAGGTAAAGGTAAATTTGGGTGGAAACAATCTCATAAGAAAATTTTTCTCATGTGTGCGCGATTTCGTGGCAATCTTGCGCCACGAGATCTTGTCCCGTCCCTTTCACCCATTTTGCCAACTCTGGTTTTGACAGGAGGGGCATCTGACTTAAAAATCTGCCAAATGGTTAATGCGAGAGAGAAAAATCTGCAGAATTCTTATGGTAATCCAAACTGAAAGTATTTTATGAGTCCTTGAGTGGAGCATATTCAATCCTTTTATAGGTGTCCTTACGTCTAGACAGGTTCTTTTCACTAATGCTCACAAGTAGGAGCTTTCAGACAACCTTGCACATGTTTATCTAATCATTCGTGGCATCAAAAATATTCAACATATGGAGTTTCAGTTAGTAAACTTGGAGTTACCTTGTGCGATCGCAGAATACTCGAATAATTTAAGATTTTAAGCTTTTTTTTTCATGTGACTGCACTTTGTGTCTCATGTTTCTCTTTCTAGCGCAAACATAACCATGACTGTAGTTACTGTGGATGAAGTGTTTTGCCCAAGGACACAATTGCTGGGTTTTAGATGATATCACAACATTCTATGAACCAATGTTATTTAATAAAAGAGATGGGGGGCAGTTAAAATGAATCTTGTTGAAAAAAAGGCAGATTTGTGTTTCCATATTTAGACTTAGACTTAGACAAACTCGATTGAGCCACAAAGAAAATTATTTGGACACAGTAGCTCACACATCACAGTATAATATAATAAATAGTAAAAAATAAATGGTAATAATAAATTCTAATTAAGTAGCAAAAAAGATAGCAAGAGACTGATGTCATATAAGGCATAATTATATAAATATTATATAAATACAGTGAGTTCTTGTGTCTAGACCAGTGATTCTTAACCGTAGGGTCGAGCCCCAACCACAATCAGTATTATATAATGCATTTAACATGAGATAGGGCCCCAGGTTACTTTGTTCATAAAAACTTGGGCCCCGAGATTGAAAAGGTTAGGACCCCCTCGTTTAGACAATGATAGAAATGTTCAGGTAAAACATTTGGGAATTTACCTTTTGGATATTTCATGGTAAAGTATAATGCAATCAATAGGCGAGTTTCATTGTTGACAAAAGCGCGCGTTGCATGCTGGGAATTATTTTGGTCGGCGGCAAGAAACACTAATTCAACATGACGGACGGAGCGAGAAAGCACGTAAAGGGTATTGATCCTGGTTATTTATCCACTCTAACGGCAGAGGACCCAAGATGATTTGAACAGAAATTGGTCATAAGCATTGACGGACACCAAATCACCCTTTTCAACCCCTACAAAAGGTGGACCAAACCAAATTTCTGGTCGGAATCGCCAACTACCTGGACAAATATTCACTTTGGCGATATCCACAATGACTTGGTGGAAACTCCTGGGCCATTCACAGCAGAAAAGATGAAAACCTCCAAGAGTCTCGATGTGTTGTTGAACTTGTTGGAGTCCACGGTTTGTTAGGATCTTCTACGTTTGCTCTGCGGATGTTTGAAAGCCGTTTAATTCACCGTTAGTGGTTCTTTTCACTCAGAATACGAAAAAGACATTTTCCTTCTTCCGTGCTTCTATTTGTGCATCCGATAATGCAGCAGGAATTTACCATTATCGGGGATAAATACACGAGGTTACACACTGTGTTTGACCACTATCCTGTTTCTTGCCTCTGACCAAAATATTTCCCAGCATGCAACGCGGGCTTTTAATAACAATGACGTCAGCTGAAACTCGCCTATAGGAAAATTATCTGAAATCTGAGAACTACCAACACAATTGCACACCTCTAAATGGTCCAACGTTACCTTAAACAATTTTTTTATAATTTAAAGGAGCTGTATGTAACCTGCGCTTTTAAAAATAGTGCTATAATCACAACCAAACCTGAGTTGCCAGAGCCTTAACCTGCAGATAGACGACACATCCAAGTTTGTTTCATTGTCAGTATATGAACAGAATATGCCTCATGTGAAAGCTCAGAACCTCCAGAATTCCCTCCCTGAGCTGTAGAGGCTGCACTAGCACTGATTCATGACTAGCTGTAGGTGCTGGAATTTAGGGAGTGACCATTCACATCAGAGAGACGCATTTTAGGCTTAAACCAGCTGGATTTCGCCTTTGAAACTGGCAACACAAATGAGAGATTAAAACGAGGCTCATTCTGATTTTGGACTGGATAATCGTCTTTGTCAAACCAAAACATCCATCATGCCCAATGCTTTTATACCTAAGAATAAATCTGCATTGTCTCATTGTTATCAGTAAAAGCTGTATTTGATCTAAACATGTTTACCTCCTAAATGAATCAATCATCAATCAATTTCAAATCTCATAATCGTCTTTGTCTAAGCAAAACATCCATCATGTCCAATGCTTTTATATACCGAAGAATAAATCTGCATGGTCTCATTGTTCTCAGTAAAAGCTGTATTTAATCTGAACATGTTTGTCCTCTAAATCAATATAAAGTCTAGTGTTGTTGGACAAAATGTCATCTAATTTCCATCCACTAAATCTATAATACACAGTACACAGAGTTATTTTGATCTCAAGAATTGCGTATACAATATATTTGTACTGAGGGGGAATACACTGGAATGAAATGACAAACCTTAGGGCCAGTCTTCTCCATGAACCCCTCCTTCATGAAGTTTCGGGTCAGTTTGGGCACCAGCTGCAGACACGGGATAGAGAAGAGAAGAACTGTTAGCTTTTGTTGCCATGGGAACCTGTGGGACCAAAAATCTTTCTCTTTCTGCCCTCTTGGTGCGAAACGTGACAGAAGAAACTCTCTACCTCCTCATCACTCGCTCCGGGGAACGCCACCTGCAGGTAGTGGAAGCGCGCTGCTCGGATAGCGTTGAACCAGTCAACCATTTCCTGAAAAACAAAACAAACAAAAAAAACAAAACATTTTATTATTTACATACACAGTATAGTTACACAATGTTGAGAACTTAGAGCTCAATGCAATGCCGAATGCTTGTTTCCATGGTGATCAGGGCGGGATATCATTGACACGTTGCTGATACGATACATACCTCGATACACAGGCCACGATACAATACATATCTCGATACAGTGAGCTTTAGATTCGATATGATTTGATACGATATATTTCAAATCAATTCGATACGACTCAATAAAAAATAAAAGCTAAATCATGGCTGTGATACTAAAAGTCTTTTTAAACCACGTCTTTGGCAAAGTTCATATAAAACACAAACATTTTAATCATTAAAAAAGTGAAAATGTCAAATGTGTTTCATGAACAAGTTTCCTTCCTCTAAACAAGCAACAAAACTGTAGCGATATAACAAAATAATTTAGTAAAATATACCAAACTAGAAAAGCACTCAGAGAGCGCAGACCTCCGCCAAGGACTACCCCCATTTTTTATATAAATTGTGATAAAATCTGTCTTCTGGATCAGATCCGGATCAGCCTATGGAATATGAAAGAGGATCCCATTGTCCATCCCTGAGTCAAATTTCATGGGGTTTGGTCAATAATTAACTGAGATATTGAGAAATAAAATTTTTGGCCCCATTTACCACAATGTTAACTAACATTTCAAAGTGATCCAGAATCCAGGATTTCTTCCAGATCACCCCCAAAATGAAATCAGTTCTTCCTTTTCACATTTCCAACAAATCCTGAAAATTTCATCAAAATCGGTCCATAACATTTTGAGTTATGTTGCTAACAGACAAACAAACAAACAGACAAACGCCGGCAAAAACATAACCTCCTTGACGGAGGTAAAAATACTTTTGGCGATATATCGATACGGCAGCCCACGATACCGAAACTGTATCACCATATTAATCAATACGATATATTGATATTTCAATATTTTTGCACACCCCTAATGGTGATGTTTTTGCTTTACCTGTAATGTTCCACTGAATGGTATAAACAAATGTGTCTGTTTCCTTGGAGATAAACAGATCACATCAAGTTACAGCCCACAGAGAAAAAATGCTTTTCAATCAACGTAAAAACGCCTGTAATTGTAAACATGCGAGATAATGCCATACAGTGGAACATTCGAGGTAAAGCAATATCATGCGCCGTCCTCCAAAAACGTTACAAATTGCAGCATTACAAACCTGGCCTTAACATTTTGTCGTTTACATACTGTATAGATTTACACACAGACAAACGTTAAAAACTCTATGTAACATTTCTCGTGAACCACCTGCTTTAGGAGATGATATTGCTTTGACTTGAATGTTCCACAGTATGGTATGAAATGTATCTATCTCCATGGAGACAAGCAGGTGATGGAACCAAGTTAAGTTACAGGTCAGATCTGTGGAAAGGCAACCCCGCTCACAGTAAGAATGTACATTTTTTAAACCTATTTTTTATTCATAAAATAAATAAATAAAAGAATATAGAAAATGTAGAAAACTTAAATGCCATACTGTGGAACATTGCAGGCATATAGATAAATAACATCTCCATGGAGACAATCAGACCTGAAAATAGAAAAGTTACATAGTGCAACTTTAAATATTCTGTATGATCTTGTAAAATTTGTATGGATTTTTTGTAAAATAAAAAGTTGATTTATAGAATATTCAAATTAAAAAATAAAAAATTTAAATAAAAAAAAATCATTGCTCTATTTGATCATTTTAAAACAATTTTTTCAAGTTCCTGGGTTGAAGTAAAAATCTGTACATGTTAGATTTTCTGTTATAAAACTAGTTAAAATGAGTGTTGCAATACTATTTCTGTTACTTGCCAAAAAATATAAAATAAGGCGATGAATTTTGTATAATCCTTAGATAGTGAATCTGTCTACTTTACAAATAACGAACTAAAGAAAAAAGCACAACCATTTTCATACTTTTTGTAACTACAGACCTACAAAAGACCACAAAACAGATGCATCCGAATAAAGTTATCTCTCTTTGTCCGTGGTGGGGTGTGAGGTGCGATGCGTTCAGGTGCTATCCGGAGAAACCTGTCTCGAGCTGCTGCAGAGCTGTCAATAAACCCACCACAGAGCCAGATTGACGGACACATGGCAGGGGCGAACTCACTGACCCCCCTGCAGTATCTCTGTTCCACCAGCAGAGGGGGCAGTGTGCTTTAGTTAACACTGAACTATTCACTGTTTTTTTTTATTTTTTTTTCCTGTTTCCAAATTGAGCATTTATTTATTTTTTAACAAATTTGTCTCATCAGATGCTCCTATTTTTAATGGCGTTACATATGTGCAACGCTATATGCTTGTTTCCATGGTGATGTTTTTGCTTTACCTGTTATGTTCCACTGTATGTATGTATCTATTCCCATGGAGATAAAATCATCAGGCCAAGTTACAGCTCAGATCTGCACAGAGGCAAGCCCGCTCACAGTAAGAATGCATGTTTTTGTATTTGAGCAAAAAAAACAACAACAACAAAAACACAAAAAACAAGAAGCAAAACAAGATAATGCCAAATTGTGGAACATGAGACAAAGCTACATGACATATGACGCACCCTCCTCCAGAAAGGTTACAAATTGCACCATTAAAGATACGTAAAGAGAAAGGAGAAGTAAAAGTATTGTATTCTTTTTTTTTTTTTTTTTTTTTTTTGCTTGCAGCGGTCTCGAGTTTCTCACACACACCCAGACAAAAGAACTGGTTTTACTGGACCCACTTCTATCGCTCCAGCTCAAGAATACTGGTGCACATGTAGGTGAGAGGTGTCCTGATTTAAGACCTAAAATTCACGAGCCATTTATACTATTTATCGCCATTCTTAAATCCAGAATATGTCATTTTTTTAGCCCCAAAAATAACAAAAATAAAAAGACGTGTTATAAGTATTCGTGTGTTTGTTGCACCGAAAAACAAACACAACAACAACAAAAAAAAACATGTGTCTTTGCGGTCACTGAGCCCGCATCTCCACAAACATGATTCGTTTCCTTGGAAAAAATGTTGTTCCTCGGGCTATAATCTTCCACAGTATGACATAAAACTTCTCTATCTCCTGGATTTGTGCAGGTGAACCATTTATATTTTACAACATTCACATATATATTTGTAAATATAAATGAATTTTGTAAAATGTTTTCCAAAATCTGCTTGACAATTTGCGTAATAAAGTACATAATAAGAAAAGTACCGTATTGTTTAGACTATAAAGTACACCAGATTATAAGGCGCAGTAGCAATAATGTTGAATTCTCTTGTTTATTTGCATACATAAGGTGCACCGGATTATAAGGCACATTAAGCAAAACAAACAGACGACACTTGAGACTGATCCTTAGCCCAGACATCCACGATCCATTAGCAGATCGTGGTTTAACTCGCCCAGTGTTGCCTCCCTGTCTTGGTGAATGTGTATTATGAATGTGGATGTGGGTGGATTATTTATAAACTATGGTAAGTAAATAAAGGTAGGCAAGAATGATCAGACTTACTATAAACTGTCATTTTTGGTGCAAATTATACTCAAACAGAAATGTATTCAAAATAAAGATGCATTGCGTAACTTTCTTCCATGGGGTAATTGTAATTCCCTTGTCTAGAATGACCCACAGTGGGCACTTGTTTTGAGTCTGTTCATATTAACAATGCAATGTGTTTTCCAATACGCCTGTAAGACAGACACGTATGAAGCCATACCGTGTAACATTCCAGGCATTTCTATGGATGCGGACATATCCCTTATGGAAAAGCTACACAGTGCACCTTTATTTTTATGTTTGTCTTGATTTCTTTCTTTTTTTTTGTACCTTAGCGTCGCTGTGGTACACGAAGATGTTCCGTGTGCTGTTGTCCTTCAGGTAGGTGATCTGTAGACCGCACGGGTTCCCGATCTTCGCCGGTTGGAACGTGGCATTCAGAGTCTCGATCTTCATCACCGCTTTGGGCTCTCGGGCCTGGAACAGTAAAGAGGCGTTACTAGGCCCATCATGATTAATAATATTTCACTTTTAAGGCAGGATTGCTCTAGAATAAAATAAAAATGCTTATAACTTTGGCAGAGAACGTGATAGAACGAAGATTCCAATTGTATTTTGCACAGGTTTTCCCATGATTTCACTTTTTAAGTTTAGGCAAAATGCGTTGAATTGCGTAGGGTGACCAGATTTTAAAAATTCTAAACTGGGACACACAAGTTTGGATGGTTGGTATAAATCCTCGTGAAACCGGGCAACCGCAGTGAGAGTGCTCTGTGTTTACGGAAGTTGTCCAAACATGGACGCGAGCATTGAGCACCTGGAGATTTTAAAGTTCCTCTTGTACCGGAGCCAGAACATGAACAACTTACTTGTTTTAAGGAGGAGATTGAGAAGGACAAGGACGAGGTTTTTGGCCGTGGCGTTTTGTGGGGCAGTGGCAGCGACGTCCGTAGAAAGGAACGTGTGGATGTGGAGACGTAGCCAAGAGTGGTGAGTGGCGATGTGCTTCGCTTCAGTGACAGAGTTCAAAAGCAATTTTTGCCTACTTCAGCGCAGAATAGTGACGTTTGTGGCTTGTTGATAACGTGTAGGTCAGATGTATGTGCTTAGGCTGTTCACACTGAAAGTCAAAAGATCGGATATGTATCGGTTTCAGGACCACATGTTGAAGTGGCCTGGGTCGCATTTGAAAAAAAATCGGATCTGTGTCGTTCAGCCTGTCATTAAAAGATCAGATACAGGTCACATAGGGGCCAAAAAATCGGATTTGGGTCACTTCAGGCTGCAGTCTGAATGTAGCCTTAGAAAGCTCTAAAAAGCTGATTTTGCATGATATGGGCCCTTTAAGTGTTTTGAACTAGACTCTCTCTCTCTAGGTCCCTCTGCATAAATAGAGCTTAAAAGAGAGTCTAAAAACTTTTTGAGGTGACTGTAAAAGCTTGTCAGAGATGTTGGTCATCAAAAAAGTTGTTTTTGTTGTTAACTTTTGTATAAATCTCATAAGACAGAAGACACAGGACTCAAAACTGGGACCGTCTCGAGTAAATAGAAAGGTCTGGTCACCCTATAAATGCATCAAAAGTCATGGGGGTGTCCTGGCAACAGCAGTCTATTCCCCAGCGAGCTACCGCCTAAAATCAAGTCATTTTTACATGAGAAACCCCCACAGTGTGTAGTTTTATTGTTCAATATACAGTATGAAAGCTGGAACAGTATATTTTGGTGATCAATGTTTATCTTGTGAACAATTTTATGTACTAGGAAAAGATTTTTGCTGTAGAGTCCTTCTGGGTTTAACCAACTGGATTTTAGCATTGAAACTAAGGCTGAGTCTGCGTTCTCATTGGATCTTGAGAACAAAAACAACAAATTATAACATCAACAGCTTGGTCTTGATCATCATGTCTAATGTTTTTGTAATTAAAGGGTCTGTATCTGATTTTTCTTGGCAAGATAAACGCTCGTCACATCATGCATTGTGTGGTAAAAGCTGAAATTTTGGTCTTAAAATGTTCATAGTAACCCGCTCTACATGATCCTGATTTGATCCTGTGTATTTCTTTCGCTATTTTGTCCATAAATAAAAATATGAGCATTAATAACAGACAAATCAGTGCCTTCTTTCACCGTGGTCTCTCCTGCTCACTTTAGCTTTGATAATCGGGGTCGGAATTTCAAATATGGAACTCGACACCAAATTCGCTCCTATAACTATAGCCTCAGTGAGCTTCATTTGACTGGGGCTGAATGCTATGGGTGACCTCCAATTCTTTAAGGTTGTATGGAGGACTCTTTTTAGTTTCAAATTGTCAATGAAAGTTCAGAGAAGTATAGAGATGCAATAGTCTTGTAATTATGATGACCAGAAACAAAAAAAAAAGAATGAAAATCCATTAACTGTGAATGTGATGGGGCCAGATAAACTTTATCTATTGGCTGTTAGGTTGTCAGTCAAACTCTGTACGATTCTAACGTAACTGTCAGTAACTCTGTACGACGTTTCTAACGTAACTGTGACTTGCCGATGGGCACGCTGCAAAAGAAAGTCAGGATCACTGAAAGAAGAAGAGAAGGGGAAAGGAGCGAACCAAACTAAGATATTCATGATTCGTTACTTTACATAGGCGTTGCGTCAGTAAATGACTTCTCTTCAGCAGTTCATTCAGCAATTCTAAACGCTCACTGGCTGTAAACAAGCATGATTTCTAGCATAAGGAGGGGGCGGGAGGAGTCATTTCTACTTAGGGAGCTGTGGAGGAGACGGGTCACGCATAGCCAGGCTGGTACCACCTAGTGCCTCCGCTCAATTTCATTTCTGTCCAGCGACTAGGTCAGGAATCGGAATACACTAACCAATCAGGGAATACCAATCAGGGAAGAGCTGTGAAGCCATGACGTCAAACTTGAACGCCTGTCTGGGTCGCTTTTGTGGTACAGCACAACAGTAAATAAAGCGTCGAGATGGATGTAGACGACACAAACTTCGCAGTATTATTGCACCTTTAATTCGCAAGTTCACCTCGCAGAAACAGCAATGATCGCTGACAGACATGTTCTCTCTCTGCTTTGTTTGCCGTTTTGCCGGCAATTACTTGGACACCACTAAGTGTTCTGGTGCATTACATACGTCACGACCAAATAGCAGCGATTGGTTAAATAAAAAAGTACCCGCCTTCCATCGACCAAACGAATTCTAATGCTGTGAGGTCAGACGGTTTCCGCTAAGTGAAACCGGCTGAAGAATCAGGCTGGGTCATGCATGTGCATCATCTGAAAAAGGACAAACTGTCATTGTATTTCTCTTTCCTTGGAAAATCCTCTATATAACCTTTTATACAGTCTATGGAAATAACCAACTCTATCCCACACAGTTGTTTCCATGTCATGCCACAAGAGAGGATTATGATCCAAAGTAAAACATGCTTCTGACTCAGGTTTGAAAGCAGGTCGAACAAAACAGCGTTATACTTGTTATCTGTTTTTATCATTCTGAGTATGTTTTGCATTGTCACCGCTGATACTCACATCCTGCTTGTTGAAGTACTTGAGCGCCCCCTCCCTCTCGGAAAGGATGAACTTTCGGCTGAGGAACTGGCCGTTGTCTCTGCCCCGTTTCCATAGGAACCCCTCTCTGTAACCTAGCAGGGGAGAGAGACAGAGACAGAGACAGAGAGATGAAGGGACGGAGGGAGGGAGAGAGAGACAGGGCGGGGGGAGAGTCAAATATCAGTGCTGTGAGAACAATCTGATTTCCCTTTGTTGGTTTCCTCTTGTTGTTACCGGAAAACAAAATCTATATATGATTTTCTTCAAAAGGACAACAATAAAAACACATGAATATTTTAACATTCAAAACATCATTAACCCAATATTGTCTCATGGGACTCATTGTTTAAGCCCTAGACTTTAAGCTGCAATATGTAACTTTTCTCTGGAGTCCACTATCTGCTTGTTTCCACGGGGATGTTATTGCTCTACCTGGAATGTTCCACAGTGCAGCATTAAACATTCTGTATATAGCTTCAAGGAGACAAGGAGGTGACTACTAATTGAATAACGCAGGATACACACCTTAATGCCATACTGTGGAGCATTCCAGGCTAAGCAATGACATCTCCATGGAGACAGACAAGCATGAAGCAGACCCTCCACAAGAAAAGTGACATAAAGCGCCTTTAACTGAACAATCAATACCACCATATCAAAAGGGAATGACTATGTTGCAATGGGTTAAGTTTATTCCCATCAACCACTGGATTGTCGGTTCAAACTTCATCAGACTGAATTCTGTCATTGTGTCTTTTGGCCAAACAGTCATGTACACTGCCTACAATATACATAGCTGTACTAATAAGTATAAATATATCCTCTACTCAGAAAGACTAAAAATAAACACATTCAGTTCCTGTTTTATGGTTGAAAATGTGTATGTGTAAAAAAGATGTGTATGTACTTTAAAATTATATATATATTTTTATATTTACTTACTTATATATATATATATATATATATATATATATATATATATATATATATATATATATATATTTTTTTTTTAACTTTTTATTATTATTGTTGTTGTTTTTACATTTTACTTGTTTTTATTTATTTTTTTTTACATTTTTATGTTTTTACATGTACTTGGCTATTTAGCATTTTACATTATTTTTATTTATACTTTATACTTACATTGTGTGTTTTTTTATTTTATATATATTAATTTTTTTTTTTATTTACATTTTATTCATTTATTTATTTTTTGTTTTTTATTCTATACATAATTATTTATTATTTATTTTTTGTATTTAAATTTTTACATTGTTAACACTGTGCATTTATTTTTTTTTATTTTATATATATTTTAATTATTTATTTATTTATTTTTATTTACACTGTACATTTTACTTCTTTTTTAAAAATTATTATTATTATTATTATTTTTTTTTTTTACATTGTGGTTTACATATTGACATTGTGCGTTTTTTGTTTTTTTCTCCTCATTGTGTTTTTCATTGTGTCTTTCTGAACACAGTCCATATAACAAAGGAAACATAGGAGCTGTAATGAGAGGACACTCTGCCTCTTGCTGTAATCCGAAGCCTCATTTTCAATCATTTGCTAATCCTGACCAAGAGGATGTGAAAGTCAATGTAGCATGAAACCACTGCATATGGACATTTAGACTGGGACTATTTTACTTCGTACTATTTTTAGACCTCCATTTTGTCGTCTTTTGTCTATTTTGATGTCACAGTCCATTTCACAAAAGTAAAATTTGTGGTTACTGTGTGAGTAAGTCTGTACATGACAAAAGCTTTATGTGAATATGAAATGAAATGAAAAAAGCAAAGGATCATGGCCTTTGCAGTTCCTTGTTTTTTTTTTTTTTACCTATTGTTAACTACCACTTTAACTATTCATTTTAGCGAAGAGACTTGTAGTTCGATATATTGTGATGGTCCATGATTTTATTGTGAGACCTCTTGCGATACAATATCACGATATTTCGGTTATTGTTACATTTACGACAGTTACTCTTTAAGTTACTTCTTACTTGAGTAATTTCTTGGACCACTAACTTTGTAATTCTACTTGAGTAGGCCTAATATTATTTTTGAAGTAACCTTACTCTTATTTCAGTATAATCTTTGGCTACTCCACCCACCACTGGTCCATTTCTATGTACAGTCTTGAGCAGAGGTGAGACCAAGTCATTGTTTTGCAAGTCTCAAGAAAGTGTCAAGTCTTTGACCTCAAGTCTTTAACCTCAAGTCTTTGACCTCAAGTCCCAAGTCATATACAGGTAAGTCCAAGTCGAGTCTCGAGTCACTGACCCATAAGTCCAAGTCAAGTCCAAGTCGTCTGCTTTGAGCTTCAAGTCATTTCAAGTCTTTAAATCAAATACTTTAAAAATCATAGTATATTTACATATGAGTGGCTTCCTGTGAGCTTCAGGATAGATTTTAAAGTTCTTTTATTAGTTTATAAAGCTCTTAATGATCTTAGTCCTATTTATTTATCATATGAGCCCTCTCGGACTCTCAGGTCCTCAGGTAGTCGTCTTTTAACTGTCCCAAGAGTCCAAACTAAAACTCACGTCATGAGGCGTCATTCAGCTTTTACGGCCCCCGTTTGTAGAACAGTCTACCTGAGGATCTGAGGTTTGCTGCGAGTGTTCATATTTTTAAAAGTAAACTTAAAACATATCTTTTTAATTTAGCTTTTAATTGAAACTTTTATCTGTTTTAATTAAATTATTATTAATATTATTATTATTATTCTGAAACGTGATCCCTGTATTAGTGTGCCCATTCATATTTCAGTCTTTTTGTCAATTCTTCTGGATGCAAATAAATTGAAAATAATGCTATTATTAAAACGTAAATAAATATATAAAAACGCGAAAGTGGATATTTTCCTCAAGCCTTAACACAGTCAATGTTTTTTCTAAGAGGATGTGAAACTCAGTGTAGCACGAAACCGCCACATATGGAGATCTGATTGGAACTATTTTACACTGCTCTATTTTTAGCGCCGCACTTTGTTGTCTTTTGTCTATTTTGGTGGAATCCTCAGCCCCCAGCGCCTGTTTCTATAATCTGGGTTCTATTTCTGTGAGAGGATGATGTCAAAAGCGTGCAGTTCAATGGACGTGACTCACCACAATTAAACACGGTGACTCTATGGAGATTTCTAAATCTGTTTGATAATAACGGGTTGTAAAAGGAAAATGAATTATTAACTGGTGAAGATAAGGTTGCCATAAAATAAGGTCGCCAGATAAAAGATTAGAATATAGCTTACTCATACTGCATAGCGTTTCATGGTCAATAAACTATTCACTAAACAACCTGAATTAGTTACTTGAGTTAGCACAATCTTAAAAGGTGCATTGTGTAACTTTTTACGGTGGAGGATCCGTTAAATGCTTTTCTCACTTTCTATCAGAGGTGGGTCCAAGCCGTTGTTTTGCAAATCTCAAGTAAGTCTCAAGTCTTTGATCTCAAGTCCAAGTCAAGTCCTGAGGCAAATCCAGGTAAGTCCAAGTCAAATCTCGAGTCACTGGTCCATAAGTCCAAGTCAAGTCCAAGTCGGCTGCTTTGAGCTTTAAGTCATTTCAAGTCTTTAAACCAAAGTACCAAATATAGTTTAGATTTTTGCAATTGATATGAATTTTAAACTAAATTGTATTTATAAAGTCATAGTGTATTTATATATGAGTATCTATAGAATATATAAGAGTTGTAGAAATGTAATTTTTTTTTCTTTTTAAATGTCTTGACTATCCTGATTCATCAGCCTCGCAGCATCAGAATTTGTTCGCTCGACGGTAGGCAGGTACTTTTTTTCATTTAACTAATCGCTGCTATTTGGTTGTGATGTATGTAATGTGTCGCTAACAGGGCTAACTGGTATATATTAAGCTTTTCCCAAATCCTGTAGGAAGAAGGACAATATCGTCTTTCCCCCTTGATAAAATTCACCAAACATTCTCTTTGTTCTGGTCTTAAGTCCTCAATCTTGGGAATCGTTGCCAACACAGAATGTCGGGCTCTTCGCTGATTGGCTGGTGCTTGAACTCGTACTTCTGGGGTTTTTGCAAACTGTCTAGTGTATTATGATTCCTGATCTAGTTGCTGGAGAGAAATGAAATTGAACAGAGGCACCAGGTGGTGCCAACCTGGCTATATTTTGACAAGATCTTAGTGTGAATCCTTACAGTCAGAACAGAAAGAATTCAGATTTAAAAGTGCATCTCAGGTCTTCTCAAGTCTGAGTCAAGTCCTAAGTCTCTGACATTCAAGTCCAAGTCAAGTTCCAAGTCTAAGTCCATTTTATCAAATCAAGTCTCAAGTCCTAAAAATAATGACTCAAGTCTGACTGGAGTCCAAGTCACAACTCACATGTCCCCACCTCTGCTTTCTATCATCATGGAAACCAAACCAGACCAAGTTACAGGTCAGATCTGTGGAGAGGTGACCTCGCTCACAGTCAGAATGCCTGTTTTCTAAGTATTTTTGAGCTATAAAACCACTTGTAACTAAATAAATGTAAAGTAGAGCTGTTTAATGTCATACTGTGGAACATTCCAGGCAGAGCAATGACATATCCATAGAAACAAACAATTTTAGAATCTTGGTTGCAGAGTGAGCTTTCCTCAAACTGTGCCTACAATCAATCTTTGTCAAACATTTGAGCAACTGTAAACACAAGAGCACTGTCGAAGCTGAGGCTGGTTTATAGTCCAGCGTCAGGTCCCGCTCTAGTAAAGGCGTATGGGCATTCAAAATACAGTTGAGCACTTCCTGTATTGCCACGTGGTTTGTGTGTTAAAACTGTGTGAATGAAGCAAAACACAACTTCAGGTGTATTTGTGATGAGGAAACTACAGGCTTCCCACTCTTTTTCACTAACAAAATGTCTAAATTTTTCCATGACTCTTTCATGACCTAAAGTGAATTTTCCATGACTTTGTGACACCTACATGTGCAGAATTGATCAGACTTTTAAGGCTAAATATGAAATGTTAACCCTTTCCACTCAACTTATGTTTTGGGATTATAGTTTTTAACATTCTAGTGAAAGATTCGAATGAAAGAGATACTAAAATTCCATGACTTTCCCAAAACTTTCATTG